GGCGGCTCGTCCCCCGCACCGGCCCGAGCGATGCCCCCGCACCGCGGGCGCCGCAGGAGGCGATGCCGCCCCGCCGCCTGCACAGAGCGCGGCCGGCGCGGTGCCCGGGCGTGCTGCCCGCCCGCCCCGGCGCTCACCTGGAGGTGGCTCACGATGCAGTAGGGCTCGGGCTGGCGGAGGCCGCAGGTGGAGGAGGCGGAGAGGCGGGCGGCGCGGCCGATGAGCAGGTCACCGGTGGCCGGGTAGCAGCTGCCCTCGGCGCAGCCGTAGCTGTACTCGGGCTCCTGTGCCGCCGCGGGCCACAGCGCTGCGCGGCCGCGGAGGGAGGGAGAGAGCGGGACAGAGGGTGAGGGAGAGAGGGGGACAGGGGGTGAGAGAGGGCAGCGGGAGCGCGGTCAGGCTGCACGCCCGAGCCGCCCCGGCGGGCGCTGCAGGGGCGCGCCCGGCCCGCCGCGCCCCGACGGGCAGAGCGGAGCGGAGCGGGGCGGGAGTTACCGAGGCAGCAGCAGAGGTACAGCGGGAGGCGGCCCATGTTGGGCGGCGGGCACCGGCGGGACAGACGGGACGGGACACGGCGGGACGGGATGGGGCTGCCCCTCCACGCGCCGCTGAAAGCTGCTGCTGCTCCGGCCGCTCCACGCAGGCGCCGCAGCTCCCGCGGCTCCCGGGCAGTGGCCCCGCGCCGTCGGGCGCCCCCCGGTCCTCCTCCTCCTCCGCCCCACCGCCCCCGCGGGGCCGGGCCCGGCCGAGCCCCTCCCGCCCGGCCCCCCGCCCCGGGGATGCTTGGCCCCGCCGCCGCGCTCGTTCGGGGCAGGAGCGCAGGGGCGGCTGCCGTCGAGGAAGAGCAGCCCAGTCGGAGTGGGAAGTACGGAGAGAGCAGCCTGGGGAGGGGAACTGCCGCCCCGCTGCAGACAGGGAGCCCCGAGGGGGGAACGGCGGGCTCCAGCCCCTGGCCCACAGGCTGTGCCCTCCCCGCTGTTCTCCAGCGTCGGGAGCAGGCTCTGGGCAGGGTGCGATAACTGGGGGGGAGGGGGTGAGTGGGAGGAATCACCGATCGGGTGACCCCTCTCCTTGTTCCTGTCGGTGGAGAAACAATGAAGGAATGGGGTTAGTGCTGATGGGGCTGGGCCAGAGAAGAAGGGAAGGATGGATGGATGGATGGATGGATGGATGGATGATTGTGCGGTAAGGCCCAAAACCCAGCAAAGAACCAGGGTGTTGGCAGCTGTCACGTGTGATGCTCGGTGGCCCCACATTGCCCGGTGCTGCGGTGCCAGCACACGTGGCTAAGGAATGCCGTTCCTGTGCCATTCCTGGGGGTGGCGGCCGTGCTGCCATACATGGCCGGGTCTGGCCCTGGCACAGGCAGAGAGGCCCGTCAGATCAGCCGCTGCCAGGCTGTCACTCGTTTCACGTGCTGCCTTCCCCGGGGTGCTGGGGCAGCTGCAAGGCGTAAATGGCTGTACTGGAGCTGCCCTGCGCTCCCAGCGTCCCGTGTCGGTTCCCTGGGCTCTGCTGGCAGACACGGGGGCTTCATCGCCTGGTGGCAGAGTCCCCTTGGCACCCAGGGGGAAGATTTACTGGTAAATAAATTGCCGAGGAGCGGGTATGAAGGATGGATGTGTGGCTGGGAGAGATGCCCGGGTTTATATACCGGAGGTTTGCTTTCACACATATAACACATGAACTTGTGTAAATCTTTACCATGTACCAGTGTGCCCCAAGAACACTTTGCCCTCACTATTTGCAGTGCCAGAGTGAAAACACACCACCGTCTGTCTGTCCAGCAAACCCTGCCGAGGTAGGTAAATATGCTCATTCTCATTTTACAGATGGATAAGCAGAAACAGAGAGATACCAAATGACTTGCCCTAAAGGTTAAACACCAGGTCTGAAACATAACCCAAGTCTCCTGATTAAAGAACTTGTGGGGCTGTTTCATTAAAGATATCCATGAAGTGAAATCACTCTAAGCTGACAGGAATTGTAATATTTTAAACTCCCTCTGCAATGTGGTCTTCTAAATTGACAAAACTAATTCAGTTTCATAATCCCATCATATTTTTCAGCTTCAGTAAAACAAATATTTTTGTTCCACTAACAGAAAATGTTTTACTTTGCTGTAGTTAGAACTTCTTCTGGTCCATGGCAGATGGGCAGCAACATCACTCCATGTGCAACTGTGCAAGGACAGAGTGTTTCATTGCCACTGGACTTTTTTTTGTCCCATATTTTTTTCAACTTTTATTGAAGTTTTCTCCTTTTTTTTTTGTCTGTTTCACAGCCTTGTAGAAGTCCTATCCTCTCCTATACCTAAAATTGGGTAAAATTGCCCTCCAAGCTCCCTGATAACTGCTGGGCCTAGGCTCCTTCATGTCTTGCCAGAGACAGCATTCAAATACTCTTTGTTCCAGCCTGGGGATGATTCTGTCATGTGGCATCAGGGATTGAGTTGGAGTTGCAGCGCCAGACTGGATGGCTACCATCACTCTTAAGTAGTCACCTTTCAGAGGTAGCTGGGTCTACCAGCATTCGGTGTGTGGGTGATTAGGAGCAGAGAACTTGTTTGTGTCCATCCCTCTCTGCAGTGTTCATGACAAATAGCGAGTGGGAGTATTTTAATTTGTTTCTTCAAATGACAAAAATTCAGTTTTGTGTTGTGCTCTGTTTTTGTGGTTGGTGAAGCAGCTTTCCAGCACTGGAGTGTCTGTGCTTGTGCTGTGTTGGAAGTCTTCTCAAAGAACAAAATGTCAGAATTTTACCTCAGTGGGACCCACTTGATCACTTGTTTTCTTACAACACTGCAGTGGTTGAATGCCTGGGAGACAGAGCTGAGGATATAATTTTGATTAAATATATCTTTGATTATATGTGGCTTTGGTTGAGTGTTTTTGCATTTTGATTAGTGCTATTGAAGTCAAAATGCTCTACTGCAAGATACTGATTTCAATTTTTTTTCAAGAAACAGTTTTCTGAAGCCACTTCTGCCCACAAGGAACAGGTCCAGGGGGAACTAAAAATAGGTATTTTTGATCTAGATATAGCATTTTCCCACAAATTAACTTTGAAAAAACACTTTAAAAGTTTTTGCGCCACTTCCAGTGGGGAATGCTGCACAGTTGTAAACCTCAGAAGCAATCACAGGATGGATTTAGAGTTCTATAGCTGCTGGTCCCATCAGGTTTGCTTCCTTTGTGTGTCTGAGCATGCTTGGAGGAAGGCTGGGGAGGTTAAACTCCACGCTGGCTTTCATCTTCCTGTTTCCGTTTTTCTTCCAGCAATTTCTGTTTCCCTCCATGGATACATTTAACTGCCTTGTGTTTACAGATTTCTCATCTGTACAGCTCGTGGAAAGCCATATGGCAACTCTCACAGCCAACAGTGAATTTTAGGAAGTTCTCTTTCAATTTTCTGCTTGTGAATTCAGATTTTTAAAGCCATGAATGAAATAATTTTGGTTTATATGCAATTGAGAATTTCTGTCTAAGCACTTTAGTTTGCCTCCTCTGGGTGCAGTGCAGCAAGGATGCATTGAAACCTGCAGAAAATCCTTTGTTACCTGGAGATCCGCGTGTGAACAACTTGGTGTGTGCTCCAAGTAAAACAGAGATGTTCGATTGCATTATGGCAAAGTCAGTCTAAAACAGGCATCTGACTACAGCCTAGTAACTTACAAAGAAGCCTCACACCTCACAGATGATTTTTCAAAGTGCTAAAATTCAGAAAATGCTAACCTGCAAATTACATGCATTCCTGCATTCAGGTGACTTTGTTAGATTATATCAAAATTATAATTTGATTCCATCATTTTCACAACAGAAGCTATTATGTGTGGAATGCATGTTGCACATTGCCCTGGAGCACAGCTGGTTTGAGTTAGAGGAGTTATCTCTGAAATCTCATCCGTGCCAGCAATTCCCACCCAAGCCCCCCACCGCATACCAGTGGTACTTTAGCTCTTGTAAACACAGGGTGATAACTATGCGGTGTTTACCTCCGTGGGATCGATAAGAATTGTTTTACGGGTGCTGCTGGCATGAGGATGGGTAAATGCTAAGAGCCCTGTATTCCTGCAGAGCATTCCTTGTTTTATAGATGTGGTTTGGGCTGCATCCGAGCTCTGAAGCAGCACTGGGCTGAATAAAGTCCATGATGAATGCTCGCTGTGGCACAATCCGGCCAGGAATGACACGACTGTTTTTAACTGAGGAAAAGCCATCGTTAGTCTGTTCTGTGTCCTGCAGGAATATGTATAGCAAGGGTAGGATTTTGAAACAGAGGCATAGCTCACTTCAGTCTTTTTAAAACTCTAGCACTTCTATAGCATTTGCTTAGCCCCAGTTTCCTTCTGTATTTATATAATAAAAGGAATTACAAACTAAAATTTAGGCCAATTCCTACGTTCTTTATCGCTACAAAAAAAAAAAACGCTGAGTAAACCCGGACTTTTGTGAAGTGCTGAATGTGGGAGAAGAGCTGGAGAAACTGTTTTTCAACAATTCTGGCCCTTTAGAGTCACTGCTTAAACCAAAAAGCTGGAGTTATTCTCCAGTTTTTGGTTGCATTAATGAAAAATGTGGGAAACCCCTTATAAGCATAAGAAAAATAGGCATTGCAGGAGGTCCATTGACAAAGGAAAGATTTTCCAGTTGCTTTCAGTGTTAAGCATCTGTGCACTGCCATCCAGTGGGCACTGGGAAATCTGTCTGTTGCCCACTGCTAATGGGCTTGTGCTGCATGGAGGTACTGCCCATTGCATTTTCATAGACTAACAGCATATGCTGAGTTAGAAGGGACCTATCAGGATCATCGAGTCCAGCTCCTGGCCCGGCACAGAAAACCCCAAGAATCACATCATGTGCCTGAAAGCAATCACACCATGTGCCGAGCAATCCTCCTTTTGGATTTCCAAACTCTAAATCAAGAAGCCCTATGCTGTGCACAGGAGTGTATTACAGAGCTCCCTTAAAGACTACAGCCTGATTACTAAATGAGCTGGTTTATTAAAATGTATTTCCTACTTCCATATAAACTCAACTGGCAGGGGGAGGGAAGAGAAAATTACATTATTCAGTGTGACAAAATTCTATATGCTCCTTCAGATGTAATTCCAGAGGACAGTCCCTTGTACCAGGAAACTCAGGAGGTGGTAATCATAGAGACTTCAGCTGCATTTTACCTGATGGTCTGTTCAGACCCTAACTTTTGCATGTTGCATACTTGCTTTCCTGCTCCATGATTTCATTTTTAATGGCTATCACTTTTTCCTCTAGTTGTCTCAGTTGCTCTGCCTTGTCTTGTTTGGTTTGATTCAGTTCCTGAAGCTTCTTCTCCAAATCTGGAAGAGCAGAGACAGGCAATGGTGCTCACATTTTTTGTGTAAGTAAACAGCATTTCTTTTCCCAGAACTTTTAGAGACAATAAGCCCATTTCAAATGGGGAATGTTATATATGCAACTGGAGGGGAAAGACTGGCTTCTGGATAGTAAGAGAAGCATGACAGCCTTAAAGAAATCAATTTCTCAGCATGTGCTTTTGTCCATCAGCTAGGATGGGGCAGGACACAGACCTCTTAAAGGACTTGGTTTAAGTGGAAACACTCAGAGGAACAGTGTGTCCACTAATGTGTGTCAAGCCTAGACAACTCAGGCATAATGGGCTTAATTCCCTTACAGGAATGTTTTCTGCTGATCCCCATGAAGCTACACGAGTATAAGCACAGTGGTAATGAGTATTCTCTACCTGCTTCCAGCACCCTTATCATATGGACATTTGAAGTGACTGAGAGAAGCACTTAATGCTTCTCCTCGAGGTATATGCTCAAAATATTTATTTGGATCCTGTCCTGGAGAATTTGCTGCTGGGATGGAGTTTCAGCTTCAGTTTTGCTGATGTTATGTGGTATTTTCAGATGTCGAGCCTGACAGGATCCTAGACCCTAACGATTCCCAGCGGGAATGCCCAGACCTTTGCTACAAGCAGAATTAGGTTTCCTGTGTGCAGTGACATGAGATGTGCTCTTCCTTTTTGGTAACCCTCTAAACCCACCCAAGGTGAGATATGTGGTGGTGTGTGAGGACTGGTGCTGGTACAGCCAGAGCAGCCACAGTCTCCACTGCCCATGACCCCTCTGCTTCCCAGTCATGGCCCCACAGGTTCAGGGCACGTCAGCTTCAGTCTCCACAAGCCAGTAATTGTGCCTGGTTTGTTCTGCCATTGCTCAGAGATAATGTCTGAAGGGGAACAAGTATGGACTGATGAAAACCAGCTACCCTGCAGCTCTGTAACACAAGCCATCACTTGGGTAATATAAGGAAAGACAGAGCACAGGTCCAAATGCCCAAAGCAAGTGCATAAATCAGGGCCTCCAACTAAGTCTACAGCCAAGTTTTATGCAGATTTTGCACTTGTCCTGTTTTTAAACTGACTGAATAAAATCTCTGCAAGTGCCTGTGTGGACAGTTCTTAAACTGTGCTTATAGCAACCAATTTACGTCAGAAAAAGCCAAATCAACTCAACTACTTTTAAACTGAGTAGCTTCAGGCAGGTATTTTTGCTAGTTAAGTTGTTTTATACCCAATTTCAGGTGAATCTAGTCTGTTAGTGTCTGCGGGCAAGGACTTCAGTCTTGAATTCATAACTGTCACAATGTTTACCACTTGCTATAGAAGTGAGAACACCACCTGTTATTCTTTTAATCTTTTTTTCAGTCTCTTCAGCCAGTTTTTCTGCTTCTTCTTTCAGCTGCTTCACTTTTTCTAGCGTTACTTTTGGAGGTCCTTGGGCTTTTAGCTTTTCTTGAAGAATGGTGTACTTTCTTTTAATGTCAGCAAATTCCTGTAACAAAACGCCATTGCTTAGTTTAGGAGCATTTCAAAATTAATCTGTTGTACAGAAGGAGATTTTTATACGTTTTTTAACATCCTCTTTGAATCAAACTTTAGATTTCTCGTTCTCTTAAATATTAAAACAATAAATCCTTAATGCATATACATCAAAAAATGCTTTGCAAAACCTGATAAAAATCAATTAAACTGCCAGTGGAGTAATCTCAAGGAAAGGGAGAGGCAAGAATATAAAGAAAATATTAAGATATTTAAAGCTTATGCTGTTCTTACTTCTGTTGATAGGGCTTTTCTGTAAATTTCATTTTGACATAAGGCTTAATTAAAATTTAATTATCTGTAGCAACATCGGGATTTTTACATCTTTGGCTGGCTAATCCATTCCCTGCTGATCTTGGTTGCTGTTGAGGCTGCAGTTTAGATTTCACCTTGGTTTCTTATAACTTGGAAGCAGTCATGCTCCAAGCTTGTGCTGTGGGTGCTTGGTTCTTCTTGCAATTTTAGAAAATTTCTATCCGCATTGTCAAAAAACTGAGCTACTGAAAAACACCAGGCCAACCAGAAATTCCAAGTAACTCCCACAGCAGTTTTCTCTGAAGGAGAACAGCGAGGGATGAATGGCCAGGCTGCTTCCATCACTCATGTATTTTAATATCTGGTTTTATGATTTGTTCTGTTGTGTTTATTGGTGCCCATGGTGACTATGAGTCTTATACACAGTGCAACAAAAAATGTCAGAGTAGCCAGAGAAATGTATATGTTTTCTTTCATTCAAGCAACTACAAGTGTATGCCAGAAGCCTTAAAATAAAACATAAATTATTCTTAACCTGTGACATTTTACACTGCATGGCATAAGGAAAATGTTAATAGTTTTGAGGGCAGCAGGGTAACACTTCTGAAGCAAAAATACTATGAAAGATGAAGGGAATTTTTTTTCCCTTAACACATGCCAGAAAGGCTTACATTATCAATATTCTGGACTTGCTTGTGTGCTGCTTCTGCCTTTGCTCTTGCCTTTGTAGCTTGATTCTTGTTCCTCAGCGTTTTTGTCTGCCAGGTGGCAATTTCATCTTCCATCTCAGTTTGTTTGGCTGACAAGTCATTTAGTTCATTGTTTGTCTTGTTCACTCGGTTCTCAGCCTAAAACAGAGCAATTGAAATCTCTGGTTTCTTATGCAACGTCCATCCAGCTTGCAGAGCGTGGTAATGAGGGAGATAGTCAATGGATTAAGAAGAAGAGACCCTTAACCAGTATGGAATTGGTGTCATATCTGTGCCACAATCTGGTTTTATTTATTTAAGTTTACATTAAGGAAACTTCAGGATGAAGTTTCTCTTCTAAAATATATGTAGCAAATAAAATATTTACAGCAAGATACCTGTGAGATTTGTGTTCTGATGCCTTGAATCTTTTCATTTAACTTTATGATGGTGTTTTTGGAGTGTCCTTGGGACTTCACAAGATTTTTTAGCTTATTATTAATTTCATCCACAGGCAGAACACCTTTCGCTGCTTTGCTAAAATGAAAAAATAGAATCTTATGTAGTATTGTGGTGTGGAGAACAAAGCAAGAACATGTTTCAAATGCACCCATGCTGACATGCAAAAATGTTTCCTCAAATTCAACAACAACCATAAAATTGGGGTTTGGAGGTTCGTAAAGCAAAACCTCTGTAAGGGACTTTGCCTGGGAGCACCTGAGCTGCTGTATTCAAGGTGAGGCTGGATGCTGTGGGCTGCCTGGTGGTGCACTGCTAGTAGGGAAGACTCATGGGTGAACATGTTTTTTCTCGTTTGTTCTTTCTCACCCTTATTTAAACCACTCAGTGAACAAGATGTAATGCGCTACCAGGTCCAAGGTGGAAGTAAGTAGCTGCTTTGGCCTCTCTGATTCAGCAGGCACAGGAGCCAAAAGGTGGCAGGAGCTGCTTCCTTGCAGCACGTCGGCTCCTGCAGCCGAGCAGTAATGGCTCCTTCCTGCTGGAGAGGCCCCGTGGAAATGGCAAGGTGAAATCTGCTGTCATCTGAACTTTCCCTCCAGTGTCACTAGGATACTGCCAGGGGTGTAGAACACTCCTACCGTTCTCAGTGCCAGCCCAGCTGGAGCTGGCACTTCATTATGAGAATACCCTTCTTACTCAGCTTCTTGTGCCTCTACCAGCAGTGTCTGAGCATCCTCCATTTTTACGTTTCCCTTATTGTTCAGGTGGTACTCCTCACAGTGGTTCATAATGCTCTTGATTTTGCCAAGCATTCTTGTGAGCTCTTGTGGAGTCAGGGGAAGGTTTATTTGCAGAACGTAATTTGCCACCTTCTCAATGTCTTCTGGAGGTGCACTCTCATCTGCAACAGAAATGGAGCTGAGAGCATCCTGAAGTGTCTCTTTCCTCTCAGTGAAATGTAAATGGTCATTATGGCTGCCTACCCTTTGAGTTATGTGGGAGAATAAAGCTGACAAGCACAGCAGGGGGGGTAAGAGAATTATCTCCAACATTTTGTAATTTAATATTATGCTTCCAGGTACTGCTGTTAGTGTTGTCAGAATTGGCTAAAATGAGGATTTGAACCCACTTTGAACTGAGTTATTAAAATTCTGATGTAGAACCGAGCCCGTGGAAGGTTTTAAATCAGTGCCCAGCACAGCTAGATGTGTCAGAGCCCATTTCTCCCTTGGCCCACAGATCAAAGAGGTGCTGGCAAGACTGGGGTGTGAATGGAGTTTTCCAAGCTGGCCAGTGGGTGTAATCCCTTCCCTGGAGTTGCCACAATATTGAGAAAGTGGCTCCTTCCCTGGTTAATGAGAAAGGCTAAGCTGCAGAGGGAACCTGGGTCAGACTTGGATAGAATGGGAATTTACAATAGAAAAAACTATATTTTGACAATTCCCATTGCAAATGAATGAGCTTGTCCGAGCTCTTTGCTAGGAGGCACAGGCACACACAGAGCAGTCAACGCCTCGTGAATTCTCCTCATCGGTTCTGTTTTCTGCTCACTTCCATTTATAGACAAGACCTTGTGTGATAAACAGTTGAAACATAGTTAATGTTTGTGCTAATGCTCCAGAGCAACTCTGCAACAATTAAATAGAAGATATTTAGTGTGCAAACAGTAGTGCATTCCTGAGAGGTATTTTCTGTAGAAATATATTCTTGCAAAATCACCATTCACATCAATGTAGAGTACAGCAGATTTAATGTAACTTTATGCATCTCAGCTGTTATTGTTCTTAAACTTCAATTAACAAAACAAAGATTTGAAAAAATGTTTTTGTAATTGTTAGTAAATGCTGTATGTCTACAAAGAAACATAAAAGAGCTAAAGGTGGAATTTTCAGTTGCTATCATATAAGACTCTGAGAATATTAAGGAATTAAATGGACTTAAATCTTCCAATTCAATAAAATAATTTAAATGTTCCTGAACAAAAGGAGTTCTCTGTCATCTGCCCTTGCACACATTTGGATGTAGAAGTATGAATGCCAAAGGGCTGCCCACATGCAATCCATAGACATTTATGAGGTCAGAGATTCAAGAGATTTAAAAAATCCTGCCACATTTGAACCTTTTGATGTGCATCTGGTAAAAAACCTTAGGGTCCATTTCTGACAGCATTTTTCGGCAATCATGTGGGTGGGAAATTTTTAGGGTATATATGGTTATTTTGTTATTTTTGTTATGAGAGCTGTGAAGTTCTACCAGAATCCTTTGATTCCTCGAGTTACAGCTTTACAGAGACGATGGAGCGGTATGTGTCCTAATTCCCACGCTCCCTATGGAGAGCCTCTGTTTATGGGCCTGGAGGAAGGGGGTGGAATAACAATTTGAGGATTCGTTGGACATGCCTGGCCATTATATATTGTATGAAATTATCTTAGTAGTCCTTTCCTCAAATAAACCAGGAACAGAGGGAATTCAAATTAAGCAGTGTAATAAAAGATAATCAGAACGTAAGAGATCTGTTGTAAAATGAATACGAAGTACTGTCACCTGGGAGAAGGAAGCACTAGAAAAAAGAGATTGAAAAAGGTCACACAGATCAGGAGGTGGACAAGAAATTTCATGTGTATACAGCTACATAATTTTCTGGCTATCTATTATGCTATACTATATTGCAATATATATATAAAAAATGAGTCAAAAAGAACATTGCATATTTACCTAATAAGAAGTATTTCACTTTTTGGATGAACTCCTTAGTGATCTCTCCATCAACCTGAATTTGATTCCTGGCTGTCTCCAGTTGCCCAGTTAAATGTGAGCCTTTCAGTTTGCTGTCTTCTGCCATTTTTCTAATGCTTTCAATCTGGAAATATTATTAAAAATAGCAATGCCATTTTCTGGAGGTTATCTGTCATTTCTTGGCAAGTTGAGTTCTGACACAAAAGTAATTTTGATCCAAGCCTCAGCTGTAATCACTTGATGTGGCTTTGAAAAGCAGTAGGAGCCCCCATTGGGGAACTCCAGAAGCTGCTACATCTTGGCCTTCATCTGGCCTCAAAAAAAGCCTAAATCAAGCATTTTTTTCTCTCTGCAGCCACTGCTAAACCACAGACCCCTTCTGTTTCCAAAAGAAAGTGCTGACAGTTGTTACAGTACTGCAGCATGTCAGTGATCAGATTCACATCTCAGGAGATGTGATCAGATTCAGATCTGATTATAGAAAGCCTAACGTCATTTGTCATTTCATATTGGACTTGCTGTTGAAAAAAACACTTAAAGAGGATACAAACAAGGAAGGTACAGTTCAAGTTCAGGTCTTTAAAAGTTACATTTTGCCATTAAATTAGTATTCTTGATAATTTAAGTGAAAGCTTTAGATTAATCATCAAATTCCAACAATATTTTGCTTTGCTAGGGGCTTTGCCTTAAGGAAAGGCACGGGTTACTGCCTCTCTGTGGTCTGCAGAGGAAAGAGATTCGGTCATTCTCCATGCAACAAGAAAAATGGTGATGTTTTTACTTCTGAATATTCTCAAAATAGTTCACTCATATTTTCACGGAGCTGCCTGAGGCTTGTGAGCACCAGAGGCAACGTCCCAGCAGTCTGGCACTCCCCACATCAGCAGATGCCTTTTGCTGCTGTCCCTCCGTGTCCTGAGGCCCCAGGCCTGTGTCCTGATTGCTCATTTCTGAACCCACTGGCTGTGATGCCCTGTCGTGTGCATTTTAAAAAGAGGAAATGGATGCCCAGGCACCCTGCAGGGACAGGACAAAGCCACAGCAGAATGTCATTTCTGTTAGAAAATGTGTTTGGCCTATAACTGTAACAGGCATCATGTCTGACTGTTAGTAAGAATGAACTCTTTACTGGTGTTTGGGGATTTGTCTGTTTTATTTCCTTGGCACATGTTGCATTGGCCACACTTTGCTTGAATTATTTTTCACTGCTACTGTGCAATACAGTTGTCTAATTGATGCCTTCCTAAGCAGTACTGGGGACAGAAAAGCTTCATCTTGAAATTATTTACAAAAGTTATTCAATGGCAAACATAAGAGTAATATGAAGTTGTATAAATAGAGCTTAATGCTATGCACAGCAGTAATCCCATTGCAGTAAGCATGTCAGGCTACTGACAAATGGTGCCATTTGAATCTTTCCCAATAAAAATATAGATAATACTAGCCTGAAGCCACCAATTTCCATAGATACAGGGCACCATGACCTGTGAGATCTTGGCAGCTGTGAGGAAGAAGAAGACATAGCTAGAGCCACAGTCTCTTTGGGGGGCTGGCACCTAATAATCCCAGTACTGAACCATGATAGGTCTGTGATATAGGGACAGGGTCCATCATTATGTCACTGCTCTTTGTCCAAAGAGCAGGTGAGTTTTTGTAGGTTTGTGACATCCCAAATCTCATCCTCCATCCATTTCACTGAACAAATGTAGGTTTGATATACAGCACCTGATTCTCAGGTTCTTGTAGCTGAGTAGTCAAGTTATTTAGCAACACAGCAGTCTCCTCAGCTTTCCTGAACGCCTCAGTGGAAAGAGGAAGAGCTCCACTGCAGTTTAGGCCACCACACTGCCTGAGCCCAAGACTGTCCTGGCACAAAGCTCCCCGGCAGGCTGCTGTGACACAGGGCTGGTCTCCTGGCACACCACAGATCTGCAACGAGGAAGATGCTTATGTCAGTACTCCTCTGGGGGCCTGGGATAAATTCCTGAGGGAAGGAAGATATTTGACATCATATGAACATTAACATAGGATGGGATTTTCCCTAAGACACAGTGGTCTGGTCTCTCTAAAGATGGATGTCCCTGTCAGTCACAGGTCCCTTTCCCCTGATTTGAAGGATGCAATGGCAGCCCAAGGCCCTGAGCATCCTTGCAGGACTCATTTGTTAGGCTCCACATGTTGCACTGACCCTTGCTTCACCCTTCTTTGGCAAAATGGGTGAAACCATCCTCTGGCCATATCCAGCCTGTGGGTCAATGGCTTCTTCTAAAGGATCCAGATCATCTCTCACACAACATGCTACCATGTTTAGCCCTCCATATAGTTTGACACAGATGTTAAGATTAAAGGCTTAGATGGATGATCTCTTCCAGATCTGTCAGGACTGGCTGAAGGTACTATCAGGTATGAGTTGCTGCCCTGTGGAACAAGAGAAATCCCCTCCTTTCCTATAGGTGATGCAAAGGATATGTGAGCACTTCCCATCCACTTCAGAGCAAAGTTGCTCTGCTTAGCTTAAGTTATTCACAGAGGAGGTTTGGGTTAATCTTTCTGAAATAACACTGATGTCCTCTTGAGACTAGAAATTGCTTAAACAGTTCCTTGTGCTGGGTCTGCCCTGGGAACAATGGCTTCCAGAAGGTAGCTGAATAACTACAGCTGAGAATTGCAGCTGTTTCAGACGTGACTGCATGGCTGTGCCAGGGAAGTGTCATTTTCCATATTTAAAAATGCATGTAAGCACCCTTTTTAAAATAAAACTTACTACAACATCAAAAAAGAGGTTTTTCTTTAGGTCCCATTGAAAATCCACAGTGCCTACCTTTTTGTTCAAGTTTTGGATGTCAGGGCTTTTGATCATTTTGAGCTGTTGCAGCACATTACTTGCTTTTAAGACCTCATGGTCCAACATAGCGAGCATGTGGCTCCTGGTGTACTCTGAGTGTCTTAGAAAAGGGGTTGTACCCCTGGTCCTCTGTTCTGCCAGCAGTGATACTTCAAAGTGTTTCCTAATGTTGCTGATGGCCTCTGTAACAACAGAAATAGGGTTTAGTATTAGCTGCATTTCGGTTGCATTTAGTTCATGTATTTACTTGAATTCTGGACTATTGGTGAGTGACAGGTGATTCAGTTTGTTGTCACTGGTGTTTCATTTGGGACAGCAGTGAGGGACAAGAACTGTCATTTCCTGAGCCAAGCTTTTTAATCCTTTACTCCTCCAATGCCAAATAGGAATAGTTATCGATGCTCATAAAACCTGCTAAACTATATGAATATATGGTGGATCCTATGTCATTTGTCAGAGTCCAAGGTGTGTGAGAAGCCAATGGAATAGACAGAAGTATGAAGGAGATCCCATTAATGACACAAACTGCTACTGCTCTGCATTCATCAGTAGTTCATGCACTGCTGCCATTGTTGATTTGATAAAAGCTCCTGTCATTTATGCTGTTTTGAAATTTAGACAGGAGAACTGTTTCTGCCAATTGTTAAACTTATGAAGTGATCAGCTCCCTCACTGAGAGTCAGGAAAGCATTTGTCCTTTCTGTTCAGCATAGCACCCAAGAGTTAAATGGTCTGCTAAACTGAGGCAAAAATTTAGAATACAAATGGGAATATATGAGGGGTTTTTTGGCTCTGGAAAATTTCAGGACTGATGTGATAAAAAAAAAAAGTACTTCCACAATAAGCTTGTAGGCCAGGCAAAAAATACTTTCTAGCAAGAGTCTTGTTTGCTTAGTAAAAGCTTTTCCTTAAGTAGACTCAAAAGGGTTGGAGAATATTACATTTTTCGCAGATTAATAGCCTGAGGAAAGGACTCAAGACTTTTGCAAAACACATAATTTAAATCTGCTGGTGCTGTTGAGGCTTCCCAGATCCCCAGAGAATCCAAATTTGTCCCCAAATTCCTAGGCAGAAATATGTGCAGAGTCAGAAGTGATTTGTCAGCAGTGAAAAAGCTGGTAAGCCACTCCATTACTAGTTGAAGTCAACGACAAGACACTGATCAAGTCCTGTATGCTTTGATTCAATCTCTAAAGCCCTTGGTCCTGCTTTGACTGAAGCTGAACAATGTTTAGTTATCTTGTGGAATCAGGCCTATTTGTTTATCTTGTTATTCTTGGAAAAAATATACAGTTTAAAGTTAGCTCCTAATACAAAATACCTGGCAAGAGACTGCTGTAACTCCATATCTAAGCCAGAGACTGTTTTCTGTGCCATAATTCCATTGGAGGAATATTTTACAGTGATTCAGCTCTCCATTACGTGGCCCAAATGCATTTTCCATGTTTGATTTGTGATGGAGCTGTCGAGCTTCCAAGTTCCTTTACGTTAAACCCAGTGTCTTAGCCCAGGCTTGATTTACAGCCTAGGAAGCTGCTCTCACTGCATTACCATACCACAGTGGCTGCAAAGCCAGGGGCCAAGGCTGGAAAGCCATAATTTAACGAGATCTCATGAACTGCAAACATTCTTTTAAGGACACTTGTGTCTTGGTTTTTTCAGTGGTTTTTAATTCATCATTAGATATTGACATTTCCAGGTCAGCTAGCTGAATGTATGCCTGGAAGGAAAACTCTGAGTCCTGATCCTCTGCAAAGAGAGGTAGGTAGGACCCCATTCCATATGTGTGCCTAGGGCACAAGTGCCGTATGTGCCCCAGATGGTATCCATGGCTATACCCTGCTCTACCCCAGCAAAAAAGAGAGAGGAAAAAGCAGACAGAGCCGTATGTAAGATGTTCTGCTGGTCCCAAAAGGAAGGTGGAATGAAGGAGCCAGTCTCTCTCCCAGGTATCAGAGAAACTGGTTATCTTGAGGGGAATGTTATTTTTGTGCTATCAGATGCATGGTAGCAGGACCAATGAATAATTGTGGCCTGATAGGAAATTCAGCTTAAATTCAAGGTCTTCCCCTCCCCACACCCCCATGTGCTTTTTATAGGGCTGTTTATCTGTCTCCAGAGGCCAAAGATGAAGTGGGTTTGGAATGTGACCAGAGAGCACCATGGATGCTTCAGCTGCGCATCCACTGACCTCCCTGGGATTTATTGTTTCTTTGCCTTTCTGCCTTTCTCAGAGTCTACACGAGGATCAGTTGGATTGGGAAGCGGAGCCTGGGAGAGCTGTGCTGACTGCTCGCACAGGGACCTGAGCGGAAGAGCTGTCCCCGGAGGCTCTGCCAAGTACAACAGGGCACGGGAGCGCTAAATCTTAGTTAATCCCTCTTTTACCCTATTCCTTTCCCTCTGCTTTGTATTCTGTTGACTTTTCCTTTTTTTTTTTTTTCCAATCTTGTCTAGACCAATCTTTTTCTTGCCTGAATGAAACACAGAGGAACTGTAAATGGGATTGCGTTGCCTGCAGCTTGTGTCTTCAGTGGTGGGCATCCTGTCTTCTGGGGGTTCATATTGTGGCAGCCATCTCTCTGGAGAATATCCTGCTGACCATCTCCTGCCATTGTGGGTGATCCGGCATCTGTTCGAGATCCCTGACTGATATATCCCCATCTTTCTCCAGAAACCAGTCTGGGACATTGTCATTACAGCTATTAGCTGATGGATACTATACTTAGCTCAAGCACAGACCGTGTAATTCTTTCAAAAATGCCAGGGAATTCAGTTCTGCCTTCACATTTTTTGATGATGGAGAGCTAGTTCTGTACCACATAAAGTTATGTATTTTCCCATGGGAACACTGAGAAGTTGCACTATGACACTCTGCTTTAATTAAACAAACCATTGCTGGACTACATTCTCTAAATATTGCTAAGAGCAAGTGGAGTAAAAAGTGGTGGAAAAATCCTTTGCTGTTCTACTGCATGATCTGTGAGTCTGTACTGTAAGAGTGGGTGACTTTTTTATGCCGATGGCATTACATTGGGATTCGTGAGACTTCTGACTGATGGGACCCTGGCACATGCATCTGAAATTTGGAATGCTAGAAATCACAGCATTTTAAGATAAAAGAGAATTTAGAAAGTCATTATAAAATGTTGTTAGTGTTTACATTTTTGTGCTACCATAGGAAGCTAAAATCTAGCGATCTTTGAAAAGTTGTATAGTTCAATGATGAGAAAAACATTCTGAAATTTTGTGGAAAATGTCCACCTATTTCAATTCATTGCTGGCTTACCTTTGAAGTTCAAGTACTGAAAACTTTGATGCAGGTGTATTTTCTGTTGTAGAACTTCATACACTAAATCAGCTTCTTCTCCAATATCTTCTAAGTTCTTGTTAAGGTCAGGAAACTCATATGGCAAACTGTGGAGGGGATCCATTTGTGCAACCTTTTGTCTGAAAGGAAAATGGCAGTTATGCAGAAGTCAGATTGGATTGTTCTTAAACTAGAACTGAGTTACACAATATTTTAGAGGGCAAGAGATAAATTTCTAAATGAGCAGAAACATTTACTTTAATGGTTTATTTAAAAAACTTTTAGGATGAACTGGAAAATTCCAGCATTTGAGTATCTGTCTGGGGGGGATAGAAATATATTAAGGATTACTTTTTCACAGATCTATTGAAAACAGTGACTTAGTAGTTCAGCATCTGTGTGCTGATCAGAAGTGGGACTTAATGTATAGAGATGGCTGGTGGAGTCTGGGGAAAAACTGTTTCTCAGCCAAGGAATTTTTTCAGGAGCAGCTTAGCCCTTACAGAAGGTAGCCCTGAAACTCCCTGATGCCTGAGAGGGCCTCCAGTGAAAGGACAGGATGTCTCAAAATTCGCTCAATTTCAGAAATGGCATCTTCAAAGGCTTTGAAGCGCATGTCGCAGCTGGGCATTCGTCCTCCTTTATCTTCCAGCTTTGCAGCAAACCTCATCAACCCCTGAACAGTCTGAGCAAGGGCAGCAATTTCAGTGTCCCACTGATCAAAACAAAGGTGACACTGACGGCAAGAGGGAAAGTCTTTCTCAAAGCCCCGGCCGCACTGGTCGCAGAGGCGGCCGGTGACCCCAGCACGGCAGTTACACGCGCCGGTGACCTTGTCACAGAGGGGCTGGCGGGTTCCCTCGGGGTTACACTCACACGCTGCAAGAAACAGACAGCAAGTTACAGCCGGTTGTTCCTTTTCTGTGACATTAATGCATGCAAAAGGTATAATTGTGCATTTCAAGATAATAAAAGCAAACCAGTGTTTGAGTTAGAGCAAAGTGGACTGCACAGCTAATGGCTCTTCTTCAGCTCTAGCTTCCATCATAATCATAGAAGTAACAATATAGGTAAATAATATAAACACTTTTGTCCATCTCATACATCCAAACATATGAAAGATTAGTTTTCTAGGTGTATGTCCCATCTCCCCTGTGAAGATAAAAGGTAAGCATTTATTTTGAGGCAGTTTCTAATCCAGTTGTCCCCAGTTAATAATACTTACAAATGCAATGCATCTGGGGATTGCCAAAGTAGTTTTCCTCACATTCATCACAACGTCTTCCACTGTAGCCTGGCTTACATGGACACTGGCCTGTAAACTGTAAAGACAGTTAGGATTTAATAACTGAGCCATGTGGCTTGATATACATTATTTACTGTGCTTCTTTTTCTCCATGTGACTTATAGCTGTATGAGGACTGCAGCAACACTGCTTGCCCCCAGTCTTTGAACACCATGGTTTATATAGCATTGGCCCACCTTTCCCATCTTCCTGCTTAAGGTTGTGAAAACAAAATGCACTTTGAGAGGTGGCTTTACTTTACTAATCTGAAAGATTTTGTATCTTCCAGTTTACAAATGCTCTTTGAGAACTCAACATCTATTATCTGAGATGATTCTTTTGCTTTGCAAAACAGACTAATTTTTTATTTTTGCTAGATCAAAGTACTCATCTTAAAAATTCAACTTTAAACTACAAGAAAACCTCAAGGGTATATTATGCACATTGCCCTAGAAAAATTATTTTGTAATTCAGCTATTAAATTAAACTGCCGGGAATTAACTGCTCCAATAACTGCAATAGCTCAGAAAAGCAGTAGCAGCTCTTTGAGATCAAGAGCTAAATTTGCTAAAAAATAATAAATCCACTAAATCAACTGGAACAAACAGAGACTATGTTGAAAGGAAAATGTGCACATACACCAGCAAGACCTTGGGATAAGCTCCTGGTGCTCTGAAGTCAATAGCAAAATTGCTGTTGACTCCATGGGACCACAATTTCACCTCTCTATTCTGAAATGCTGTTTTGTTTTTTCTACATTCTAGCCCTAAAAAGTGCACAGGAATTAAATATGAGAAAAGGTGCTCTACCAGTCTGATAGATGAGGCATGATTAATGTAATAGCCCCAGCTGCTACTTTATGAAAATAAACACTTAAAAAATACTCATAAGACTCAAGAGTCCAAGCCTGGATTTCCTTCTTCCGTATATGTATATTTATGAGGCAGTTTTTTCCTATGTGATACCTTTTCACAAAGTGTTTCTAAGATCCACTTGACAAAGAAACAACAAACAAAGAGAAATTTCTTACCAGCAAAGCCACAATATCGGAACAGGGTGTTTGATATAATGACTTACAGTGGGATTGCGTCAACCACAAACTTCCAAAGAATTTTTGTTTTCAGGAAGTATGACAAAAAACTACTCTCGTTTACAAGAGGGACCTCACTGTGCCATGCCAAAACACCACCACCCTCGTTCCTGGAAAGCAGAGTAATTTTCTTGCCTGGTTGCACTGGTTGCTTTGTGAGTTTTTTGGATCACAGCCACAGGTCTGACATCCTTTTCCGCTAGCCAGGTCCCAGTAGCCAGAGACACATTGGTCACATGTGGCACCCACCACATTGGGCAGGCAAGGGCAAGCTCCCGTGGCTGGGTCACACAGGCAGGCTGCGTCCCCCTCCGGGCACATGGCAGGGACAACACCTGCCTGATTGCACATGCACCCTGGAAAAAGAAGGACAATTACTACAGCAGACAGTAATATGGACAGCTGATGGACAGTCAGAGCTGTACATAAAGCTCATGCTGTAGGTTTAATTCTAGTGACCTTGAACACATTTTTAATCTCATACCTATCTTTCTGTAACATCTTATATACTGCTTTGAGAAAACTTACTGCAAATGTTCAGTACTTTTAACAGAGGAACAAAATATGAAGATGCAGTGAATTTTGAATCTTATTAGAATGAAATGTTAAATATGCTGGGTGAGGGGAATCTGATTTACAGTAAGCACTATCCAGTGTGGGAATCCCTAGTAAGCCAAGTAAGATAAGAAGCCTTCCTTGTGAGGAGCCAAAAGTGCTTGGAGCGTATTTTAGAGATTCCCAGAAAAACAGTTTCCTGAAAATGCCTATAATTGCCTGGTGCATAAAAATTAGACCCTTAATCAGGCACTTTGTGAAAATAGTTTTTGAGAAACATTGAGAAGAAGCTTATGCCTTGCTTTTCCTTACACTTGTGCCTTTCTGTTAAAACTGCTGAGTTACTGACAGTGTTCTCATGGAGTCATAAATTGCCTGAAGTCTCATTCTAGCCACTTAATGAAAACAACTCGTAAGGCAGGGAGCTCAGCAAGGGATCATCTGGTTAGCTGAGCATTGCTTAGTTGGCATCAGCCAGCAACATGGATAAACAATTATCTTTGATTCCTTTACTTTTGATTCCTTCCTGAATGAGCTGAATGCACATTTATTTTGCTAACAGGGAGTACTGCTTTCATTTCACAAATAAGTATTTCCTAGGAGTGATATTCAGTATGTGATTTAGTGAGAGTTGGATAACATAAAATTTAATAGATACCACATTAAGTTATTTGTATCAGTCATATATTTATATTTGGTATACAGAGAAATATATTTGGTATTCTTATATTTTGCTATATTCATCTGCTTTAGTTTTGTTGTCCTTCCAAAGGCTAGCTTTTCCCTTCTTTTAAAAAAACCTTTTCTTGTAGGAACACACAGTTGCAGTGCTGTTACTTACTTTGACAGTTTTGATTGAGAGCTGAGCCAAAATAACCTGGTTTGCAGAACTGGCAGTTTGCTCCATGGGTATTATGTAAACACTTGATGCATTCCCCTGTGACCCTGTTACAAGACTCTGGGTCTGTCAAATCAATGTTACTATTGCAGGGACATGGTGCACAGTCAAGCCCAGGGCTGCTTGGGTTTTTATAGAACCCAGTAGCACACTCGTCACACTGATTGCCTGTCAGAGAGGAAGGTAAAAATATTGATGGGAATTCAAGCGAAACATGTAATTTCCAGTAGTACTGTTAAAAGATTCAGACTGTCCAAATGCACATTTACAATGAAAAATATCCACCTGTTTTAAGACTGTTGCCCTTTAATCCTATGATCAGTTTAAAGTACAGCTTCCACATTGAAATCTGATGGAAATGCACTTTCCTCATCCCAGGTTGTTTCTACCAAGGAAGTCCTTTCAGAAGGACTAAATAGGTGCCCCCTCACACAACACCTCCAAACATCTTTTTCCAGCTAAGTCCATTCAATGGCATTAGTCATGGCTGGCCACATTTACAGGATTTTCCTTGGTCCTTCCCTCCCACAGCAGCTTTGGAGGGTGGGGGGTGCCCAGGAGTTCAGACGAGCTCTGGGATGCTCTGCCCTTGCCTGCTGGCATTGGAACTACTTCTGCAAGCCATCCCAGTGCATGTCCTGATTGGGGTGCTACCTCTCTGCATCTCAGAAACCTTTCTGGACAGGCTGGTGTGTCTGGAACCACATCCACCAGCTCATCCTCAACCAAGGACTCTGTTCCTTCATTGTGGTCCTCAGGACCAGAGCCTTTCACAATCTGAAAAGTGAGCCTGCTGCCACAGAGGTGACCAAGAGCCTTGCCGGAAAGGAGCAGGAGGAAGAAAGTCCAGAACTGAGGATTGCGGTGGTTTGTGAGGACAGAAGTCCCCTGGCCAAATACCAACAAGTATCATTTTGGCCCTACAAAAATTACTAAAGCAAAACTGCTCTTGACTTGTAAAGGAATCTTGCCTAAGTAAAGATGACAGCATTGGTTTAGTTTTTGGTAGTGTTTCCCATTAGGGCTTGCTCCCATCATGGAAGATCTTTCTAATGCCCAGGGGGCGGGAAATATCTTCAACTTTCCCTTCAGGAATTCAAGCTATGTCAACAGAATCTTAGGAAGCGAGGCATCAGTGTGCTGCAAAAATATCTGCATTTGAGACAGCTGAGAATAGAAACTTCATTTCTAAAGTGACCATTTGAATGATGAAACAGTCGCTTTTGGGCATAATGTCACAGACTGATTCCTCTATATGGAGAAAGATTTTCTCTGATTAGGAAGTCTTATCAGCTCTTTTAGATGCCCTGTTTTTTCTGATTTGGGTTTCCAATGCTTCTTTTTCAGAGGTAATGAGTAAGTGCATTTCTCCCCCCTCTCCTCACCAGATTAATGTGGAAAGAAGGAGGTTTCCAGAGAGTGCCATCAGATTATTTAATGGCTTCACTGTATTCACTTAAATGAATCCCTTTTTCAAACACTAATTGCACAACTCCCATTCTTCCTAGTCAGGACTTTCCCATATGATTTCAGTAAATTTGAGTGTTAACTCTTCTTAGCTTTTTTTTACTATTACGTCAGTTGTCATTTCTGAACACACGATGGGTGGAGGACGGTCATTTTTCCCTCTTACATTAATTTGAATAAAATCAGAACCAACCCTTATTTTGCTTTGTACCTGCATGTCCCTCGAGACAATTGCAGATTAGTTGTGCAGACTGGGAATCCCGGTAACAGGAATGTGCAAAATACCTATTGCTTGTAGGTACCCCTGGGCACATGCATGGGTGGCAGGGTTCTCCTTCCAGAGGGTTTCCATAATAGCCATCCATGCACCTGTCAAAGCAGTCAACACAAAGCAGTACAAATTGTCAAGTGCTTATTTCAGTCCATGCAGATGAATCAATTTATGTGCATATGTATTTATATGTATATATATTTATAGGTATATATATTTAATTAACATTCCAGGTCATTGTAATGCTATCTCCATTAATTGGTACAGACACATCAAGCTTCAAAGGTGTTCTAAAATGGAAAATCAGAGCTGCATTCCCAAAATCTGGAGCAAAAATAAAAAGACACGTGTTTTCTTTTCAAGGAATATTTATGAAGACTTTCACCTACTCTGGAACAACTTCAGTCTAAATGATTATGATATGATATATCACACATGCTCTGCATAGGCAGCTAAAAGCTGCCAGGTAAAAATTCCGTGTATTCATCTATCACTACATATATTCATCCATTTCCATACAGACACACACACTGAATGGCTAGCATGACAGTAGAAAGTGCTGGCAGAGGCAAAAAAAGCAATGATTCATTAAGAGCACTCAGAGAATATTGCATATTTTAGATGCAATATGTATTGAGCCGTGCTCTGTCTGACATGTTCTGCAAACGTGGGGTAATGGCTGTTTCAAAGTGGTGGTGGCTGTGCTGTTACCCAGACCAGTGGAGGGTTTTCGGGGCTCCCTGGGGGCTCAGCCACCTGCCCACCATCGCTGCATCTGCCTCCATGTCCCAACCCCCTGTGGTTCTGCAGCTGTGGCAACGCAGTGGCTTCTGAAGCATCCGCAGTCTTTGATCTGCTTTACTATGGCAAATGGGAACACAATTCGCCATATGCATACGAGCCAGGCTAAAAGACTTGCCTGTTTGATTATCCTCCCCCCTGGGTCTGAAGCTCCTGCAGAGGCACAGGGCAACAAGTATTTCAGTCTCCCATTTTAAATCTATTTGCCACCTACAAGCACAATAGCCAAAGGCTATATTGTCTAAAAGCACTGCAAGAAAAGCTCAATAGGTTTCACAGGGAAATCCTCTTAAAAGTGAATGGCAAGGTACAATCCATCCAAACTAAACTAAATTAATTTAATTTTGATGTCCATGTTGAACTCTGATACTGCTGACAGCATATAGAATAAAAAAGAGGAGAACTATTCTGAATGGAGCTGGAACATGTGGGAAAAGTAATTTGCTGGTCATATGGAACTAATATGGCCAGCAAACAGGGCATGTTTATTTAAGCTCCTCAGAGATAACTGCAGGTATTAAAATGAATATTCAGGATGAGGTTAGCCTCTTGTTTGATGGTTAACCTCTTGGCTAACCTTGTGCTGAATTTTAAATTTAAAAGCTGGCAATTTGAAAGATGTCAGGAGCTTTGTGCATGTTTTCAAGCATATGGTGCTATGGCACTCATCTCTCAATTGCCTTCTTGCAGGGAGCCTATTGCAATGCTGTGTGCATGCCATGCCTGCAGTCCACCCACAGGCACTGCATGCACAGTCCCACATGCATTTGCCAAATAGGTACCTGACATTCAGCAGCTAGGCCCAGTTTAATCCTGGTTTTGGTATATGTTTCCTGTTAAGGCCATTGATGCATTTGTAGGTCCCCAGCTACAGTGACATTTCAGAGAGCACCAGTGTTTGGGTCAGCTTTGCAGTGCTGCCCATCAGGTTACCTTTCACAGTGGCTCCCAGCCGTAAACCCACGGCAGTCCAAGCACACTCCGGTCAGAGGGTCGCAAAGCTCCGCATTGCCATTACAAGGGCAAGGACGGCAGTGGGGAAATCCGAAATACCCAGCCAGACATCGGCTGCAGCGCTGGCCATCCACCTCCCGGCGGCAGGAGCACTGCCCCGTTACTTGGTCGCACAGCGTGCTCAGGGAGCCTTGTGGGTGGCACTCGCATGCTGGAAAACACCAAAGACAAAGCTGTGTCCTGCATGTATTCCCACTGACGTGTCTCATCTCTGACACTGCTCAAAGGCAGTCAAGAAGCAGGAATGGAAAATTTGTTATTCATGGAAACATCTTTTATATTGCTTCACACATAATCCTGCATTCAAAGCCCTAAAAAGTTCAGGTATGCATGAAGAACCAAGATAGTGGTCCTGGTGCTGGCTGCCAAGTACTCACCATAGCAGCCATGGAAGCCAAAGCCATAGCTGCCCGCAGAGCAGGTGTCACAGCAGCGTCCCACGACGTTGGCTTTGCATTGACACTGGCCCCCCAGTTTACTGCAGTTGGCATTCAGTGACCCCTGGGGATTGCACTTACATGCTGCCAAGAGGAAAGAGAACCGAAACAGGTTTGGTTATCAAGGAGTGTGACTGCTCTTATCAACTTGAAGGTTTCGCACTTTAAAATAGGAAGGAAAGAGCTTGATTATTCTTATCAGGGGTTCACTAACCACTGATGGCCATGGCTTGGATTGTTTGATGGTGTAGCATCATCATGTGGTGGTTTGAAACTCTCGAGGATTCAATTTTTAAGTTCAAGCCCCCTCCCACAGTCTGCCCCTGTGAGAGGGTTTAGTGATGGTATGGACTTGATATCTTTTTCTCTTCATGTGGAGAGTTTTCAGACAAAACACAACCATTCGTCATTGGGGGAAGGGAGAAAATATTTACAAAGGTTTATTTGCTTACACCTATATATATATATATATATTTACATTGAATTAAATTCCTCTTTTCCTTCAATAAAAGTCCAAGAAGGAAAGAGAAAAGTCTTTCTGTCACTGCCACAGTTCCTTCGTTTCAGTTTTTTGTGGCACTGGTTAGTGTCCTTCATTTTCCTGAGGCAGCAGATTTAAGTATGGCAGTCAGGATTTTGGTTCTTACTTTGTGGAAATTCCAACCCCGAGCCCGAGCCTTCGGGGGATTTCCTTGTAGATCTTCACTCCTCTTGGGGTAGAACATTGAAGACAACTTTCAGTTCAGTCTTACCAAAGCTCTTTTGCTCTGTCTCAGCTTCCCAGCATGATAGAAGCAGTAGCAGCAGCAGCAGAGGGCACGGCCACCTCCCCCGTGTTCCATCCTGGCTCAGCTCTCAGGAGACTCCGGGTTTCTCGGCTCCTTTCTCTCTCTCTAGCTGCTGCTGCATTTTGGGACTCCCTAAAGGTTTGGAAGTCCACCCCTCCTCTTCAACAGGCCTCTGAGTTTTGGGAAATTAATACAGTCTTACCCCAAAACAGCTCTGTTGAGTTTTCCTCTGTTTCATTGCCAGCTCTCCCTCCTGCAGGAACATCTCTGCGTCTTTCAGCCGGCTTCATGTTATCTTGTTGTTATTGGCTATCTTTTTGGCTTTCAGCCATCGCTGTCTCTGTTCAGGACTGCTCTGCTGCTGCTTTCAATGTTTTCTGCTGCTGCTGACAGTAAGGAAATTCTCCCACCTCTTGATTACGGGACCCGGTCCAGTTTTGACACTACACCGGGTCTCCCGTAGCCTCAGCTGGGGCTGGGGGCTCTTGGCCCCCAGAGGGGGCTCACTGGCCCCCTGCCTCCTCGTGGTTCAGATCATGCCTACCAACCTACTAAAAAAAAACTACCTCACCACCTTCTCTTCCGTTGCTGTGGGTATGTAATTTCCGCAGGGCGCATATGAACCTTTGATTGGTCTAGTATTATCAGTGGGGCAAACCATTACTGCCCCAGAGAAAAGGTTTTTCAAACCACCACAAATGGTGATGGTATATTAGGCACCAGCATAAGTCTTGGTGTTGCAGTTGCCACATTCAAGGCACTGCCTTCAGCACACATTTGGGATAGGACAGAAAGGCCGTAGCAAAATGTAGATCCGAAACAGAGAAATCCTGAAGTCTAGAAGGGTTTGATATAAACCAACGTCTAGCCGCAGCACTGGACATAACCTGCAAGCTGTACTCAGACAGTCTGCATCTGTGTAGTGTTGGTTTCTTTCTGGACACCTTGGACTAACTTATTGAGTGAAGATGCTCTGATCACTCACAGAGGATGTTTGTCCAGGATGCTCTATAAAGCACCAGAACACTAAAGTGCCATGTTTTATTAGGAAATCCCACCACTTTGGGAATCGGGCTAATGAGGAGTTAGCACAGCCCAAGCCTAAATGAGGGGGGTCTGTGGCTGCACAGCCATGACCTCATCACCTGATATGAGAGTGAAGCATTGACCCTTCTAAAACTGTCCAAATCAAGCAGATCCTATCACTTCAGAGGCATTGCTGCAAGGCTCCCTGAAAGTAGGTGGCCATCAAAGTTGTCCAGGAAGACCCCTCCTGTTAATGGAAGTGCAGGGAAGTTCCATTTCTCTGGACCCAACATCTAGAAGATTTCCTGAGCCACTAAGCCCAGCTACCCTTTCTATGGGAGATCCAGGAGGCTGCCTGGGAGCATCACACCCCACCTGCCATTGCCCTCTTGCTGGAACATCACCAAGGTTTTCTTGGTGAATATTCTTCCAGTACATCTGCCTGTGTGCCATCATACCAAGGCATCCAGCTGCCCTGCAGCATCCAGGGAGAGGGCTTAAAAACTTCCCTGACCTTTTACAGCAGCCAGAAAAGTAGGAATGTTACTGCCTTGGCTGTATGGTAAAGCTGCATCTTGATTCAATGCTCTTCAGAAAACACACAAGCACTGCCATGGTCCCTGTCGCTCTGCCCCACAAAGCTCATCAGGTGTGATGAACTCCAAGAATCATGCCACCAAAAGATGTTTGCAGCCCGCTCAGGGTTCAGCAGGATATATCCTGTGTATCCACACATAACATGTGCTGATCCGCTTCACTCACCTACACCACCATGGGCTGAGAGCTCTCCAGTCAACATAACCTACAAACTCAAGGGGAAACCAGCAACCATCCCAAAGAGCTGCCTGTGCAGGCTGGTCCTTACCGACAGCGCCGTTGTGAATCCGGGCTGACATGCTCACTATGAGCCGTGCGCACGCTTCAGGCAGGACGTGAGGTCCAACTTCGGATGCAATTTCAATGCAGTGATACTTCTGGTACTCATCTAAATCCTTTTCACTGCATAAGTTCTCCACGGAGCTGATTCTGGGAATAAGTCCAAGCTTTGGCATTAAGAGGGAAAAGAAAATATTTTTGCTTAGATATATCGAAAACCGGAATTTCCCACATTCTCTTAATGTGCTTTGCATTGCAAGGACAGAGGCCCAGAGCACCATGTTTCCAAATCTGCTATTGTGCCACTCTGTCATCAAAATTCATATTTATTCTGAAGGTCTAGACATTCCCCGAGTTCTTCTAATAAAAGAGACTGTAGATGAAAACATAAAATTATAATAAGACCTCAGATATATGCTCAGAACTGGTTTTGCTTCTAAGAGGGACTGTGGTAGCGACTCCAAAAGCAGTATCTGGCCAAAATTTTTACTTGTATTACTCTCATAGAGAAATATAAGCTGAAGGTTCCATGTCCAATTATGGCCAGCCCTTGTCAGATCCTGTTCTATGGAAGTAATTAGAAAAATGGACCTAAAAATATTTTTCTCAAGAGAAGGACCCAAAACTAACACCCAGTTCCTGACTTGGTGGAAACTTGGGAAATATCTGGACCTGATTCCTGTGAAGTACACAACAAATTTTACTTTTCCAATGTCATTTTTAAAAATATCCATGATCCAGACAAATTAGAGAGATTTTAAAAAACATAAGTAATGAAGAACTGCACGAATTTGTATCCCTAACCACAGCATCTTGTCAGTATATGTGGAATGTGTTCATAATAGATGAGCAACAGATAGGAATACATACTGACTATCAACATATGCAACAAGTATGACTTGATGAACTATTATGGTATTGCTCCATGAAAATTAAACCAGATACAATTCTGTCTTTCCATACAAAAACATGCAAACACAGTGACAATGGAGGTAAGCAGAAGCTGAATTGCTATTGAAACACACTATAAATTATTTTAAAATATTTTTAGTAAGTTCGTGTAAAAAAAAATCACAGTGGTACAAACACAACCTCAAGGGACTTGTGACAGAACTACTCACTGAGTCAATCAAGATGTATGATTTTGCCCTTGTGTCAGAGGCAGAGGCCTGAGAAAAATACACATCCACAGAATATTCTCTTCCCGGCTCCAGACAGACTGGAGTTTGCAGAATTGCAATCCTGTTTAGCAGAAATGAAGCACAATTATAGCCAGGAGTCAGGACAAGGCAAGTCTATGGGATGTTGTGAGCATTCCCTTCCCTCTGTGCCTGCATCCTAATGCCTGCAGCCTGGAGCAAGCCCTGCTGCTGTGAGGAACACAGCCAGCCCCATGCTTGCAGGCTTTGGAAAGCTGCATGACTTCTGCCAGATGATTCATCACGCACAATTTAAATCTGGGGAGATTAAACTGAAAAAGGTAGGTTTTACTACTTCAAGCAAAGGGGGTTGCAACTCACTGTTCATATTGATCCTTTCTTGTCCCTGTTTAAACAAGACATTGGTCACATCCTCTTGACTCCTCTCTATTCTTTACATATGTCCAAGCTGAAAAGCCTTTTTTTAAAAATAGTATCGTATATATAGTCAATATTTGCCTTCTATACTGAGGTAGCTGCAGTTGGATCTTCACCAAAGCAATAAGGCCAGCAGGATCTCAGGCTGCTCTCCTGGGTTGGGCAGACTTTTGCCAGACTGAGGACTGGGAGATCAGTCTCTTCCTCAGAGCCTACATGGTACTGTGGTGTGACAGCAACAGAAAATGCCACACATGTGTTTCTGATATTCCCACTTTCCCACCCATTTGTTGCTCTACAGTGCTTTAGTAAACGATATATACACAGAAAATACCCAGGCAAAAGGACAGGAACAGTCAGACCTCTTTGTAGCTGGGAGAGGCAACGCACGTGGCTCCTGTGAAAGGACCTTGTTGTTGCAGTGTTGACCTGACAAGGTATCAGTTGGCTGGATGGCAATACTTGCTAGCCAATCTTCCAAGGACTATAAACAAAAGACAAAAATTACGGTAATTTTTTTGTATCTGAAAAACCTACTTTGTCAGGGTTAATGAAAGCCATCTGAATGATTGCACACGGCAGTGACATAACAGATTTTTCTCTTTATTCTTTACAGCACTAAAAACCAATGTTATTTGAGAGAAATGCATTGTATTTGCAATGGCCAATTGAAAAGCAGAGATGGAAATGGGACCTCAGCTGTTTCAAATGAAAACAGCTCTGTTAAAGTCGTTGGAGTTGTTTCCTTTCTTAGCACAGTGTTATTCTGGAAATATCCTTCATTAGCTGCCTCCTCACATATCTAATAAGGAATAACAAACACAAAAGAGTGTATAACATATGTATTTAAAACTCAACTCTTCAATCCTTGGAAGGAAAAAGCTACATCAAACCAGCCCACTGAAAATTGTTCCCATGTTTTAAGACACTGGGAGTTTTGTTTGCCTCAGAGTGACAGTCAGAGAACAGAATACAATAGACAGAGGGATAATCTTGAGTGGTGGGACTGTCTCAGAGATTTGCAAAGCAAAAGAGTAAGGCACAGACAAAAGTTGGTACCAATAAAACACTTGCCTGTGTTTTTGAAGACATGGGTGTGGACCTGGTCTTAACCAGATTTGGATTAACAGATTTCCCTAGACATGTCTTCATCATTGAGAAATCTTCTCCAGGAAAAAATAGTAATATGGCTATTTTCCTACAATTTTCACACATCTCAGAGCCCAGCTGGTGCAACTGGGAAGCTGGATGCCTGCAAAAGCCCTGGATAAATATCTACTCAGATCACTTCTGCCTGTGCACATTTTCCTGCCCAAAAAACACCAGCTAGAAATACAGGGTGCCCATCTTAAAGGAACTGCATTTTCCATGTGTTTGATCTGTGAGCAAAAGTCCAGTCCAAGCAAAGGTGCCAAAAGAGAAACATTCAGAACATGAAATCTTAGCTGATGCTTAGAAAACACTTGTAGGGCTGATTTTTCACATTTCAGTGGAAAGGGATAAGAGGATCGGTGGAGGACATGCTATTTGGTTGGTAAGGCAACTTGTTACTTGGTGAAAAGGCAAGTAATTTTAATTTTAAATATAAAGAATAGGACAAGTTGCTCATTCTATTATTGGTAAAACAGACTCTGCATCTATCACAACATCACAAGACATGCAAGACATCACAGATACCTCAGGCTCATAACGAATTGTGATATCAAAGTCCATAGCAAAGGGAACGTTGTTGATGGTAAATCTCAGCCCAGCTCCGCTGGGAACACGGGCAAAGCCAGGTCCTGTCCATGTCACAGATCGACCAGCGCTGGGCTGCCTGAAAACCACCGCCGAAACAGAGTCCTGTCCAAACTGCATCACACCCTGCAAAGACACACCGACATTTTCAACAACACACTGAGTCAAATTACAAAGAAACAAACTCAGAAAAAAGAAAGGAAATATTTTTGCCACACTGTTTACTTATTTTGGCCATGAGTTAATCTCATTTTCTGAACAAGTTCGGGATCGACAATCTAAGAACTCTCCCATACATAGGATGTTTAGGGTCATATGTCAAGAAAAGCTTCCTATGGCTTTGCAACAACAGCAATGAGAGGGACTAGAATCCGTAAGTCTCTGAATATTTCACTTCTGCAAACATTCACATTGCAAACCTTTCATACATGGCTGGCCTCTTCATTATAAAAAATTATTACCTCTCATGGGGACACTTCTCTTCTAAAAATTCATTGAACCTGAGTATACAATACACTGGGCAGTGTAAACCAGTCAGTGAGAATCATAAAATGTCTGGCCCAACTGTGTAGCAAAAAAATCAACTTAATTTGTGTCAGAATTATAATGTCTAAGACTGCAAATCCCTCGTGCTCAGGCATTTCTTTGCCCTTTGTCACAAAACAAAATTGTATTATTTGATGTAAACTTAAGTAACTACTCAAGTACCAATTTACCTGTTCCAGTCCAGATTTTCTTACAGTTCGTTTCTTGTTCCTGTTTAACACAATCTTTCCATTTTCAATAATGAACTCATAGCCTTGCTTCTGCAAGTAGATGTCACACCTTGGAAGAGTGCTTGGCTGAACCTGTGAAGTAATGAAAGAGGAGCAGCACTGTCTCAACAACGTTGAAGGGTACGTAAGCAACCAAATGAAAATCCACATTCTTAAAACAGGCTCTATTCTCTGCAGGGTGAAACTCTAAACTATGGCCCAGCATTTGCCAGAAAACCTTTTCCCCCACTTCCTTAAAATTAACTTCCACTTTCTCTCATAAACTATGCCTCAGACATCTGTTTTCCATTTAATTATTGGACTGTAGGATGATTACTGGTTGTGATTATAGCTAAATATTTGTGGATGTGACCTGCAAATAAACATTTTTTATTATTTGTTCTCTATAGCTTCTGGACAACACGTCAGAGCAGAAATGTTAATAAAAGCATAGGCAGAGGAAGGGATGCATTCCAGGCTTGTACTCTGCATGGGGAACAACTACCCCCATGCTGAAGGGGAAAAAATAAATAAAAATTAATTTTTATAAAAACATTACAGATGGATGCCAAATTCTTGAGGAAATTGGGCTACAATCAGTGCCTTTATATAAGGCAGCAGGAATGAGTCCAATGGAGCAGAAAGTAATTTGATTCTTTCATTTTTGGAGATTCCCAGAAATACAACAGTTTATGATAACGGTTGGCAACTCAAACACTTTCCTCTAATTTAAAGAATTAAACTGTTTTCTCTAATTCATGCCAGACCAGCCTGCACTTGAGCAGCAGTAAGGGCAGCTTTGTAGGTCACAGAACGTTGTAGGTGCTGTCCCTTTGTAACAGCCACATTTATGGGATAGTCATGTCCGTGAAAAACAAAGATGAACAGAGGATGGTCAAGGGACTTGCTCTGCATTTTCCTGCTAAAGAGCTGCTCCAGCTGCTCCCCAAGCAAGGGCTCTTCTCCTCAGCCTCAGCTCTTGTGCCACCACCACATGGATCCCCTCTCAGTACACCTAAAAAGCCAACTACCTACCAAGGGTGCAGAGCCAGAAAAGGGTTTTGCATGCTCAGCTTCATAAATGTAATAATCCAGGGGTAAGAAGAAATAGCCTGGAGCTGGCTCGTTGCACTGGCGGCTCACGATGTTGGGAAGACACTTGCACTGACCATCTTTTGGCGAGCACCTACAGCAAAATGGTAAAGGGAGGATGTAAGAGTGTGGCACAGCTGGGTCCTCACAGCACAAGGGCAGCTCAAATCCACCCTTGTTTCTGCTTTGCCTCATTTCTCCCATTGCCGGATCACCTCTGTTATTAAACTTCTTCCTACCCCCCACCCTCTCTGTTTCTGATGCTAGATTTATTCAGTGCTACTGTTCCATCACTTTAGAGACATGACATGTTTTGTCTTTCTCTGTCCGTTCCATACCTGAAGCACTGATTCTTTTATTTCCTGAACATCTGTTACTATCTATTCCTGTATCCATTTCTTTTATCTTTTTCTGTAACCATCACTGTATCATGATTTTTAATCACCTGTCACTCACAATTATGGAGGCAGAACATGAGATCAGAAGGACCTTTGATTTGATGTGAATATGGAAGTTTCCATATATTTACAGTCATATTTAACACACCAAATTATTTATCTGCTCACAAGGAGCTGCTCTACAGCATCAGACTATGTGCTCCTATGCCTGAAGTCTAACAGCAGTAGTGAAGACCCCTGCCCAACAGACTTCTGAAGTAACTCAACTGAAACCAAGCTTGCTTCTAAAAGTATACATTTTGAATAGCAGCCAGAAAAAAAAAATCTAGCATTTAAAGTAGATGTAGGAAACTAAGGTAAAAATGTCACCTCTAACTAATTTATACAAATATTAGGATCTCTGGTTCTCTCAAGCCATGCATTTTATATTTTATATTAAACACATCTTGACTCAAGCTGATTCAAAGTTGGCTTCAAAGGAAATAGGTAAATCCCCTTATCACAAGTAAATTTCCAAAATCCCAACGCAACTTTACTCTGTTTGTATATAATGAAATTACATCTACAGGATATTTTCCCATCTGTACCAAGACTGTATTAACCTAATCAGAAAATCTAGCCTAAGAGCTTATAAAAATTAAAACCAGGAAAGAACTTGAAGACCTTTAACTTACAAGTTATTCTGGGATCCACCAATATCACAGTCACACGGAGAACAGCCATTCAAGCTGTTGCCAAGACCCCAGTATCCTACCTGGGATAAAAAGAATGATTTTTTTATGACAAATATTTAAATATGTAAAGCAAAACCGAACTCATTCTGCTGGATGAACAATGCTCAGGAGCACTACTGTGCTGCTGCCTGTGTTTGGCCATGGGACACTGCTTTTCTTACCAGATAGCATAGGTGCTCAGTCACTGCATGAGACAGATATTTACCCATTTGTGCAAGCAAGTTCTCTGTAAACAGCAAAGATGGCCTGAGGACATGATTTTGCATTTCCTTTCCTTCCCGGGAGTGCTTCTCCCAGTGCAACTTGATTGCACAAATGTTTGTGAGCAGTGAAAAAGAACCAGATGTCAATGCAGAATGGCAGCATACAGCTGTAAAATTATTTTGAAATTTGACTTATTGTTTAATTTTCTGGCAATTAATAGGTATGAGGTGGGCGAGGAGACTTCCAAAACCACATGCAGAAGTAATAACAAAACCTTAGTACGTACGAGGCATTTTTCACAGCGTTGCCCTGTGGTGAACCGCTGGCACAGGCACTCTCCTGTGGCAGGATCACAGATGGAGAAGGGCAAACTGCCAGAGGGATCACAGTTGCAGGCTGCAGGGACAGAAATGTGTGGTTACCTCTGCAGGCTCCAGTGACTGCCGGCAGCAGGACTGACATTTGCTTTAGATGTGGCATCAGTATGACAGGCAGTCTCCGTCCCCAGACAGACACTCTGCCTGGCACCCTGCAGCCCACTGACTGCCCTTGGGAAATGGACCATTTCCTTTGGCAGGCCCCTCTCCAGGGGGAGCAGGGGCACTGACAGAAAGCCCTGTGCAGTGGTTTACCGTGTGCTTGTGCTGGTCTGCACAGTCATTGTGTGTGGCTGAGGGCCATAGTGTGGGCATAACGTGCTCACAAACTCACAGTGTGCCTGGGGAGGGGCGGGATGTGTTTTTCAGCAAGCCTCTCTAAGAGGAATGGCTGGCTGGAAGTTCTCATGGCAAGGCAGCAGCTTCTGCCATCTTGACACTGCACTGCAGAGTCCAAATATCCTAACAGTCCATCTGTGGCTTTTTGTGAACCCTTTGTAGAATTATAGAATCATAGAATGGTTTGGGTTGGAAGAGACCTTAAAGATCACTTAGTTCCAACCCCCCTGCCATGGGCAGGGACATATTCTACTAGACCAGGTTACATAGAGCCCCACCCACCCTTGTCTTGAATAATTCCAGAGATGGAGAGTTCACAAACTCTCTGGACAACTGGTTCCAGTGCCTCACCACCTTCCCAGTAAAGAATTTCTTCCTAATATTTAAACTAAACCTACCCACCGTCAGCTTAAGGTCATTTCTCCTTGTCCTGTCCCTACATGCCCTTGTGAAAAGTCCTTCTCCAGCCTTCTTGTGAACCCCAGACCTGGAGACAGTATTCCACTTGGACTAGAGCAGGAGAATCACCTCCTTCAACCTAATGGACACACTTCTTTTGATGCAGCCCACGATACATTTGGCTTTCTGGGCTGCAAATGCACATTGCTGAGTCATGTTGAGCTTTCCATCCACAAATACCCCCAAGTCTTTCTCCCCAGGACTAGTCTCAATCCATTCTCCTCTTAGTCTGTACTTGTGCTTGGGATTGCATTGACCCACATGCAGGACCTTGCACTTGGCCTTGTTGAACTTCATGAGATTATACTGATTTGGATGCTAAAATAATTTTTGTGTGTATATCTCCCTTTTCAATTAATTTGCATATTTAACAGCCCTTCTATTAACAGCAGCCTGATCTATTATAGGATCCTATGCATTCTGAAAATGATTTTGCATCTTTTCAGTTGCAGAAGCTGCCCCAGAAACATTACATGGCATTGACATTTAATTATAGTAGGCAACTGTGTATTCTATGACTCAAGTAGTGCATTACTATTGCATCTGTGCATTCAACGACCTTCATGTCTTAAAAATGGTTTGAAAAGAAGGATAAGAGAGGTGGTTTACATACGCTGGCAGCCCAGGGGGTCACTGCCACTCAGCCCATAGTAGTTTGCCCTGCACTTGTCGCAGCGAACACCCTCTACATTCTCCTTGCAAGGGCACCGGCCTGCCACCGTTCCCAGAGTGGGATCTGTGCGACTCTCACAGGCGCCATTGTGCAATGTACCTTCTGGGTCACAGTCACATGCTACAGGCATGGTTAAGGGGATACATAAAAAAAGCACAGTTAGATGTAAGCATGAAAATGCAATTATAGAGTTGCTAGTAATCTTCCTTTGGCTCCTTAAGGACTTTTCATGCCAATCAATTGCTAAAATTAAATTACACTCAGAGCATTTTCCCCATCCTATGTTAATACTGAATTTATCTCATCTTTCAGAAGTGCTTTCATGTCTGAAAGACTATTTTTCTTGCATATGGTGAGTATCCAGCAAAAGTTATTAATCGTCCCATCATTTTGCACCCCTTCTGCAGTACTTGAAGGTCCTAGAAGCAACATGACTACTGCAATTCATATTTATATTGACGTTGCTCAAGAAAGCTGATAGCTCTGCTAGATTTCTAAGCTCAGCAATAAATCGGAATATGCAGCTCCTTTTACAATGGTGGTTTGAGGATACTGTCATGCAGCTACTTTGTAAGGCAGTTTGGATGTTTTAGGTTTGGTAACATTTTTACAACCGTATGAACACTTAAGCATGGGGATGCCTTAGGGTTCAGAGCAAAGAGAACCAGAACCACGCTGTTTTGAGTCATTCTTACAGAAGCTAAAAAGGGACGCTTACGGAGGCACGCCTGAGGGTCTGAAATGACTTTGAGTGGATCCTGGTAAAAGAAATGTTTGCACTGGTCACAGTGTTGCCCGGTGGTGTTGTCCTGGCAGTCCTCACAAACCCCACCGCTGACCCCGCCACTGGCCTGGTACATGGCCATGTCAAAGTGGCATCTGCTGGAGTGGCCGTTGCAGTTACAACCTGAAACCAAGATAAACAGTGGGGTATTTCACACCGTGACTCCTGTTGTGGTCCGGCCACCATTGCTGTCTACTGTTAACACAGGATTACTGGTGATTTGTATGATTTCAGCGCCCAACAAGATGATAGCTTCCCAGGCCTTGTGTGTTACAGCTGGGGGAGAGAAGTGGGCCCTAAACTTGGAGAAGTCCCCATGTGGGTGAGTGTGTCTGATACGCAGCGGGGAACACTGCTCCACCAAAGAAAGCTCTAGCTGAATATTTGTTACAGATCCTAATACATTATTCTTGTACATCCCACATTACTCATTATTGTGAAAATAAATAATTTAGCCTTGTCTAAATTCTTTCACTCACATGAAAGACACTGTGCAAGTCAGTTGATGACCTTTTTTGCATTAGCTGCTTTTTCCTCTCTTTATTGTTTTTTTTCTCTGTATGAAAAATAAGAACATGAAACAGCTCTACTTCCTGTAAGGTGACACAGCACCTACATGGTGTCTATCTGTTTTTCTGGATGAGGCATGGAAAAGTCTCCCTCCCAGGAACCTAGCCTTCCCATTATGCGTTGGACTGTGATTGTGCTACAGCCACCCCCAACTATTAAAAAGGAAAATATCATGTTTGAGTTACGTTTGCAAGCATTATCTTCGGTCCCTTCAGCTGGCCTCCAGGGAGCATCATTGTAGAAATCTTTACATCTTTCACAAGACAAACCTTCAGTGTTATGGTGGCAGATACATCTCCCTTGGACCTGTAACATGGTGAGAACAGCTTGGAGATGAGATGATGAGAGGAGAGGAGAGAAGAGGAAAGGAGAGGAGAGGAGAGGAGAGGACAGGACAGGACAGGACAGGAGAGGACAGGAGAGGAGAGGATCTGTTCGAGGTATGCCAGCAAGATCAGGAAAATTCAAAGCTCTCTGGCTCCCTCAGCTGACATAATTCTTAATTATTTGAGTAAAAGGTCTGGAGAATACCTGCAAATTTTAACCAAATAGTTTTAAAGCCACTGAACAACATTTAGAAAAAAATATTTATAGAGATATCAAGGGAGACTTTAACCTTTTAGATTCTCTCTCTCTCTTTGCCTACATGTCTTAATACTGAGATACACATTTTCCAGGAAAAAAACCTCTTGTTCCTGGAGGGAAAGAATTCGCAATCATGTTCCTGGAATTTTTAATAATCCATTTCTCATGGGTTAGCTTTGTATTATCAGCTATTCTTTGTGCCAATGCCTTCTCTCCTGCTGCAGAGCCCCCAAGCCCAGCTGGAGAGTGGAATGCACCCAACAAATGGCCATTCAAGTCTGCACACACCATAGGCTACTTACTGCATTACATTTGCACCATTACAGCTCTGGTATTTGGCTGCTATTATCAACATGTCTTGTCCCAGTTGCTTTTGAAACACCACCCTAGTGCCAACAAAGAGACACCCTCTGTGCATTCCAAACCAGGGCTTTGAAGGAAGAATCTGCATTGAAACATTTAACAATTTGCAGTTGCAAATGGTCAATCCAAAGATTATCAGAGATCTTCCTCTCCCTCCCTCCATCTCTTCCTTCTCATAAAATACCAGGTAGGGACCGCCTTTTTTGGAGACAGCATTAATGACGCACCATCCCAGACTGATGGAAAACATCTCCCCGCAGATTCTGCATGGAATCACACTGGCTGGCATGGCCATTGCAAAAGCAGCTGCCCTGCACAACCATCTCATAGATGGCATAGTAGTACTTCTCAAGGGGATCACTGTGCCTTCTTCCAAGCAGAGCATCCCCAAGGGTGTGGAGTTTAGTAAAATTGATCCTCAGGTTTGTCAATGTAATGAGCTCTGGAAGGAAAGAAGAGAGATCAAGAGCCCAAGTTCACTCTAAAATGAACAGCATGAAATCTTCAGCTTGGATCAGTCATCCAAGAATTCTCCCATAGTGAAGAAATAATGGAAATGATCCGATATTGGCCAAGACTACTAATGTGTACAGTGCCAGGGCAAGGACCACTCCTGGCACATGGCTATGTAAGCATTAGCACCCTCCTTGGTATGGCTCTGCATTTTCCCAGCCACTGGCTTCATGGGTTCATGCACACCTCTGGGATTGCTCCCAAAAAGCAGTGTGGATTGGGCCTGATCCCAGAAGGAAAGACAGTTAAGCTACACGGATGAACTTTGCAGAGCTCTGCCATTTGCCCTCAGGGCTAGAGAACAGGACTGGCTCCATTTTATTTATTAATACAACGTCACCGTAAGATCTTTAGGTACCTAATTTTCAACGTCATTGACTTACACCACTTGAGCTGTTGACCTTTTCAGTGTACAAAACAACAACACCAGGAAAATATCTCTGGAGAAAACCTGTAGTGTCCATACCTTGGATATAGGGCACATATGGATTTTCTATTTCAAAGCTGGGATCCAAAGCTTTTAAAACAACCTGCAAAACAAATTGATACAGCTGTAGAGATGGGATGAGCACCCACCTAAGGGATCAAATGACAGGCTCCTGCCTTTACCACATACAGACAAGAGACCTTCAGCTGCAGTAACAGAGCCACATATGATCTGAACTCATACAAACACAACCACCTGGCAATACCTCGCCTTCAGTTGAGGGCTCGATGTCTGAATATCTTGAATCACAAATGATGTCTCCCACACTTTTTGCTGGACCGGAAGAGATGTTGGGAAAAGAAGCTGCACAATCATGTGCAAAATATCTAAACACTTTCCAGGACTGACCAAAATCGGTAGAGCGCTCAACTAGCATTGCTGCAGGCCGAAATGTCTGCAAGAAACATTTCAAGAATTTCTTAAGCAGGCATTGATAAAACATCTCAGGGGTTGTTATACTAATATTCCTCTTCAGGGGATGCTAAAATTCTGTGTTTGGGATCTTGTAGCTCATTACAGGGCTACTGTGCTGGTTACATGATTTTCTGAAAAAGCCAGATTATTCATTAGAACCTCTCTCTAGCAAAAGGGAAGGGTAACCTTCCATATAGATACAAGATCACTTTCTAAGTAAAGAAGTTTACCATAACAATGTAGAAATTTTGTAAAAAAAAAAAAATTGTAGCCATATGTGTCATAATGGTTATGCATGAGAAAGTTGAACTAAATTGAAAGAGCAACTGCAGTTCAGATATGTTCTAAATTTTTAGGGTTTAATTTTGCAATTTATTTTTCTGCTTTAATTCTCAAATTTACAGAAAATAGGACCAGAAGGCACATGAATAGGAAGCTATTCAGCCTATCCTCTTCCCCTAAGGCAGGATCAGCTATAATTTAACCATACTTGACAGGTGTTTATCTAACCTGTTCTTACAACCCTCTAAAGATGGAGCTTTCACTGCCTCTCTAAGCAATTTATTCCTCTGGCTAAGTAATTAGTGTTTAACGTTACATAAAATCTCTGGTTAAAGATGTACCTTAAAGGTCAGGATAAGATGGCTGAACTGGAATAAAGTTTCTAGGTCCAATCTAATGCTGACATGGTCCATGCCTGAAAAGAGAATGAAAATGAAGATCACAATGCATACATTGAAGGTGTAGCTGAGATAGTTTTCCCATGGGGAATTTAAAGATGCCTTTTCCAGCACAGCAGCTAGACTCTTTAGGGCATCACCTGTGCACAAACCCAGCGTGTGGCTGGATTGCTCTCCCCAGGGCAATACGATTTTCTGCCTTCCTGACACTGTCACTGGCAGTGCTGCAGGTCACTGAGACTGCAGGACTTGGTTAAAGGTCCTGTTCAGATAATTCAAATAGTAAATGATGGTGATGGTTCTGGGTTATGTGTTCCTGTGTCCAGTTAGGTTTATTTTTTAAAATCCATTGAAATAATTTACTTATTTCTAAGGAAAAAAAAGAGAAACAATAAAACTGTGGTGTTTTCTTCATGCTAAACAGAACTGTTAAACTCTTCTATACTGCCAGACCCAAAATTTATCAAGAGTAGAACTACTACACCAGATATCTTCCAAAATTGCAACATGTATAGAAAAAAACCTCCACAATTCACGCATTCTCTGCAGAGAGTTGCAGGAGTTCATGTCTGCATACAGCATCCCAGGGCTCCTGCTGACCAGGCTGTGCATGAGACCTCATCCCAGAAGAAAGATTGGGAGAACAAGGAAAGCTCTTCTCACAGCTGGCCCACAGCTTTATTGGCAGTGGTGTCCAAAGTTAGTGATGGATTCTTGCTAAACTCCATGAAAAAACAAGGTTTATAAATTTTCAGCTGGATACTCAAAACAAAGGTAACATATTACCTTACTTTTTCTATGCCTTAATTTCCAACCAATCAAATGTTTTTTACATATTTACTGTATGTCAAATAAGATAGAGTAAATGTTATTCCTCCTAGCATAGTGCTTTACACTATTTGTTTTTAAATGGGTATTTGTGTTTTACATGCTGTTATTACATGACATCACATCTGTAGGCAAATATATCTTTTGCCACAAATCACATTTCCCTGAAAGGCAGATACCCTGTGGAAAATACATGGTCTCCATGTATAACCATGCATTGCCACTGGTCCTCTGGCCACCTCTTGGAGATACTGTGCTTAAAACTTGTCCATAGGAAAATGGACTTTCTGATATCCTATATTGCTACACATAAATGGGTTCAAATCACTCAGCATTACTGAATCAAAGAACAGATGTGGTGGTGTTTCATCTTTTCATAAAAGCAATATGGTGAGTGCCAATGGCATAAAGAAATCCCATAGCAACATTTTGAAGTAATATTTTCTCAAAGAAACTTACCATTTTCTGACTGCCACCACTTCTTTTTCCTATCAGGCTCAAACGCTGTGATAACATTTTCAATCATATGACTGTTGTGCTGGGTATAGGGATTATATGGGTATCTGGAATCACAGAGAAAGCACTTCTGTTCAGCCTAGAAAACAAAATGAGCAAAATAAAATATTAATTTTGTCTCTTCACTAAAAATCAAGTGGATGTACACATATTTATGCAATTGCAAGACTGGCATCTGTCATGTTGCTTTGGGTGCCTGTACTTTTAATCACTCAGGCTTTCATATATAAGGGATAAGCCCAAGAAAATCATCATATGCATGAAGCATGTACATAGTAAGTGTTGGTCTTGGTGTGCCACAGGTATTCTATAAAAATTACACTTTTTCAGTTGTGGAGAAGGGATCTCGGTAAGAGCAGGTACAAAGTAAGTAGTTGGTCTGGGCTGACACCACCACCCTGACCACTGTAAGTGTATTTTGTAGGCATAGGGAAACTGCAGAAGTTTAAAACCAATGCAAAGGAGAAAAATTAGGCTTTCAATAGGATAAAAGGGTCTTGTTTGAAAATGTTACAAGCAGAAGATGAAGGTAGCAATGATTAGCCAATGTCTCAGTTCTGAATACTTTTGTCTGCAAAAGGGCTTGGATAGTGAGGGCAAGGAGCTCCTCTTTAAGGTGATGAGTGGGGGATTGAGTGGGAGACTAAGGAGAGGTGACAAGGTTAACATTCTGGTCTGGGAGATGAGCCGTGCTGAGCCATAAGGACAGCCTGAACACCACAGGATCACAGCCAGCAGGGCCCCAGGGAAGTAGGGCAGGCAGTGCCGGATGTGCCACTTGATGAGATTTGGGCAGAACCTGAGTGCAACTCAAGGATAAGCCAAAGCAGAAGGTGATGCCCAAGGTGTGTGCCTGGCTTGCGGGGATGGTGGCAGGAAGAAGAGTGGATGACACAGCACCCCAGAGGGAGCTGAAGGAGGAGGCATGGGTTCAGTGCCCATGGGTGGGAGGCTGGCAGGGATGCTCCCAAAAACAGAAAGTGGAAATCATTGGCAGGAGCTGGACTGGAAATGACCCAGAAGGGGATGGATAGAGAGGCATCCCACTTGGCACACTCAAGATCCACAGAGAAGCATTGGGAATAGTTTATACATCTTTGTATTATGAAATCACCTGGGAGTTATTCACATTTAAAGAAATTAATACCTATAGATTAATAGGTATGGTATAATTCATGTGTTTTAAACGTTATGATAAATATGTATTATATTCAGTCATTCTATACCACCCTTGACAAGTGTATGAATATACAGTTTAGAAGACAAGAGAGAAATACAAAAAATACTCTGTCATCTCATTTCACAAAGCTCTGGTAAGAAAGCACTTGGCACTCTCTGATTTATATCATCATGGCTAGGCTTCGCGAACGAAGATTTGGGAAGGGCTCTACCCATGTTTCTTGCAAGCGCGTTGGTGGCTAAAAAGGCCAATACGAGATAGGCATGTCCGGTTGCAAAAGGCACAGCAGAAAGACTCCTTAGAGGGTATATTCTGCAAGGCTCGATTCTTTCTGCGTTGTCTTTTCTCCTCAAGGGTGATCCCGCGTGCTTTCTCAAAAGCATCAGCAGCGTTATAAATGGTTTGTCTCCAGGCCTCCCGATTGGAGGCCAGAGTAGACCAGTTATGGTGATCAACATGCCCAAGGCTGAGTTGTTGCTTCAGGGAGTCCTTGTATCTTTTCTTTGGGGCTCCTCTCTTGCGGCAGCCAGTGGCAAGTTCACCGTAAAGCAGGATCTTGGGGAGGCGGTGGTCCTTCATCCTAGAGACGTGCCCTGCCCATCGCAGCTGTGTTCTCAGCAACATGGCCTCAATACTTGTGATTGCTGCCTGTTCAAGAACAGATGTATTGGTCACATAATCTGACCAGTGGATGTTTAGGATTGTGCGGAGGCAGCGTTGATGGAAGCGTTCTAGGAGTCGCAGGTGGTGGTGGTAGATGACCCATGATTCGGAGCCATATAAGAGAGTAGACAGCACTATGGCTCTGTAAACACTGATCTTGGTACTTTTCTTCAAGTGTTTATTTCGCCAGACTCTTTTATGAAGCTTTCCAAAAGCACTATATGCCTTCACTAACCTGTTGTCTATCTCCCCGACAATCTTACCGTCCGAGGAGATGAGGCTGCCTAGGTAATTAAACAGTTGGACTGATTTGAGTTCTGATTGGCCGATGGTGATGTGGGGATGATGGGGGACTTCCTGAGGTGCAGGTTGATAGAGAACTTCAGTCTTCTTTAAGCTGACTTCCAGCCCAAAGAGCTCAGCAGCGTCTGCAAAGCAGGATGTTAAACGCTGCAGGGCTGCTTCTGTGTGGGCAACAAGGGCGGCGTCATCAGCGTAAAGCAGCTCCCGGACAAGATGGTTTAAGGTCTTGGTGTGGGCCTTCAGTCGCCTTAGATTGAATAGGCTTCCATCAGTACGATATTGAATGTAGATACCGTCCTGATCCTCGAGGTCTGCCATGGCCCTTTGGAGCATCATGCTGAAAAAGACTGTGAATAGGGTAGGAGCGAGAATGCAGCCTTGTTTCACACCATTCTTTATTAGAAAGGGCTCAGAAAGTGTGTTACCATATCTGACTTGGCCGTGCTGATCCTCATGGAGTGAGATGATCATTTTAAGGAACTTGGGGGGACAACCTAAACGTTCCAAAATCTGCCAAAGACCTTTTCTGCTCACAGTATCGAAAGCCTTGGTGAGGTCGACAAAGGTTACATAGAGACCTTTGTTCTGTTCCCTACACTTCTCTCGCAGTTGTCTGAGAACAAATATCATGTCTGTGGTGCTCCTGTTGGCTCTGAAGCCACACTGACTTTCAGGTAGAATTCCTTCTGCTATAGCGGGTATTAGTCTGTTCAGGAGTATTCTTGCCAGGATTTTGCCAGCAACGGAGAGCAGAGTAATACCATGGTAATTTGAACAGTCTGATTTAGTACCTTTCTTCTTATACAAGGTGATGATGACTGCATCACGAAGGTCTGAAGGTAGTTCACCTAGTTCCCAACAGCGCACCACAAGTTCATGAAATTTAGCATGGAGTGCAAGGCCCCCATGTTTCCAGACTTCGGGTGGAATTCCATCGACCCCAGCTGCCTTGCCGATTTTCACCTGCTGTATGGCCTTGAGGGTTTCTCCTAAAGTGGGGGCAGTATCCAATTTGTATTTCACCAGTTGTTGTGTGATGGACTGAATTGCTGAGTCTTGGACTACACGGTTGGTACTGAAAAGAGTCTGAAAGTGTTCAGACCATCTGTTCAGAATGGAGGTTTTATCTGTCAGAAGCGTTTGACCATCTGCACTGAGTAATGGGCTTTGGACTTGGTATGTAGGCCCGTATGCTGTTTTCAGGGCCTCATAGAATCCTTTGTGATCCCCTGTATCTGCACATAGTTGAGTTTTTGCAGCTAGATCGGTCCACCACTTGTTCTGGATGTCACGGAGTTTCTGTTGGAGTTTGCTGCATGCAAGACGAAAGGCTGTTTTTCTTGCGTGACAGGATGGCAGTGCAAGATGTGCTTGGTGGGCAGTTCTCTTCTTCCTCAACAAGTCCTGGATTTCTTGATTGTTTTCATCAAACCAGTCCTTGTTCTTCTTGAGGGAGAACCCTAAGGACTCTTCAGAGTATTGCAGGATGCAGCTTTTAATATGATGTCAAATTGTTTCAGGGGAGGAATCTGCAGTCTGTGGAATGGTTTTCGAGCCTAGTTTGAAGGTTTGCCTGGAATCTTTCTCTTACTGTGGCTGATTGGAGATTGTTAACTTGGAGTCTTCTCCTTGGGATACTGCCCCTTTCGGGTTTGAATTTGAGATTAAAGTTGAGTTTACAGCGCACAAGCCGATAGTCTGTTTGACATTCTGCGCTGGGCATCACGCGGGTGTGGAGGACATCACGGACATCTCTCCGTCGCACCAAGACATAATCAATGAGGTGCCAATGCTTAGACCTGGGGTGCACCCAGGTTGTCTTCAGACTATTTTTCTGCTGAAAGATAGTATTAGTGATGATAAACTGTTGCTCCGCACAGAATTCTAGCAGAAGTCGACCATTATCGTTGCAGTTTCCAACACCATGCTTGCCTAATACTCCTTTCCAGGCTTCAAAATTCTTACCTACTCTGGCGTTGAAATCACCAAGGATAATGATCTTATCATCTGCGGGCACCTTTTGGGTAAGGCAGCGCAGGTCAGTGTAAAATTTATCTTTTTCAGCAGGGTCAGCTTGGAGAGTTGGGGCATATATACTAAAGATGACAACGTGTTGCTTGTTGTTTAGTGGAAGGCATAGGGAGATAATGCGGTCAGAGTGACCTGTCGGCAGATGTTCGAGTTTAGGGACAATAGAGTTTTTGAACTCTGATTTATATAGATGCATACTATATGCTGCTTGGTCAACTTATGTCTAAGGTTGCTCCACAAAAAAAAAAAAAAAAAAATCTGCTCCAAAGGACAAGCATGTGTATGTCCATACAAGGCATGTCTGGCAGTTCCCATTTGCCTCTGAAGTGCTGGCTTTATACTCTCCTCCATGCTGCCCCCTTTCTTTTCCTTTCAAAACATGTGTAAGTAGTAAATCCAATCATAGAGCTAAAAACCACTTAACCTAATTTAGAAATAAAATTACATATTAAAGACTGACAATGATTTCCAGTGCTTCTTTTCAAACACAAAGCAGTTGAATTCTATTTTTTTTCCATATGAATTTTCAATAAGACATCCCAACTGACTCCTGGATCTTGGTAGCTTGCCATGTTGACTAACACCCACTTTCACAAGTAAGGTTTGCTCTTGTCATGATGCCTGACACAGGCCATCAAAAGAGGAACTGAGGGAGGAAGAACTTGGCTCTACAAGACGAATGATGCAAAGTTCCTGGCCTGCCTCCAGCAAAGCACTCAAAATGTGCTGGTGAGAGTGAATTGAGTCAAGTGGGATTCTGAAACACTATTGGTGACACACACATTTAAGGCGAGCTGATGGAACAGAACACATTGCCAGAGCATAAGTCTCTCTCTTTCGAGCTCTGCAAAGCAGATTTGTAGTTTTCACCCTCTTCAAGAGACAGCCACCAGGGGTCAAGATATGTTGAAGCAGCATTAAATCACAGGGATTATTGCGGAACAGCTGCTCCTTTTCATGAGTCTGTATTTACATAATTCAAAGGGTAAGTACAGGCAAGTGAAAATATTAATTTTTTATCGCTCTTTGATCTCCTCCTAAAAAGCAAGAATAAAAGGCAATCATCCAGCTTAAGGGCCAGAAAGATGGTTCAGGCTATTTCAGCAAAGGAAAGAGGTATTTACATTTTGCAGAAAACTGTGGTTCCAACATGCAACTTGGAGCAGTGCCTGGTGCCATCTCCGTACCTTACTCTGCAAATGTGTCACACCATTTAGCCAGAAGGTCATAAACTGTAATTATTTTCAATTGCTCATAAATTAAACTGTATTTTAACTTCCTCTTCAGCCTAAGCTCTTATTTAGTGAAAATATTTCTATTTGTGACGATTTATTAGCTCAGTGGGGCCAAGTCCTCCAGGATGTGCAACAGAGGAATTCCCATTCCTTCCTGGCATAGCTCCCATATGCTCACCGGTCCCCCTCATTACTGTGGTGAGAGAGTGAGAGGGATCCTTCTGATGAGCCACATTTTCAATCTGCCAACCTACCCATATGGCCAAAGACTGGACTACAGCATTAGGTCTTCCCTTTTCAGAGACAGTTTTCTGCTTTCAGCAACACTGGTCTCATTTCAGATCAAAGGATATGAGAAGACATGGTGCAAATCTCTGAACAGGCTGCCTGAGGTTTCAACACTGTATGGACATGTCCTTCAGTGAAGGTCCACCAAGCCAGTGCCTGCCTGTGGGACTCCACTGCTCCTGCACTCACACACACACAAACCATAGTCTTCACTTCTGAGGCGTGAGCAGGAAGAGGACTTGCAGAGCAAAGCTCCTTCAGAAATCCCTGTGCTCAATCCTTGTGTGTCTCAGGGATGTTTCTCCCCCTTGAGAAGCTACACATCACCCTGGAGGCTCTTTGCTGCCAAACCCTCCATATGTGCTGCAGTAAGGCACAGCCTTCCACTGTCTGATGGTTATTCAGACAACTCCCACAGAAACTTCCTACTCTGGGCAAATTCCCTGAACAGATGAGAATACTGTTGGTAAGCAGAGTTCAGTTTATTAAGAAAGAAGGAGCAAACCAACCTCTAGGTAGCCTACAATACAGTACTTCTGAGGGCTGTTGATCCCACAGGTTGACGAGGCTGTCAGTTGCTTGCTGCGACCCCAGAGGAGGTTCCCAACGGGTGGGTGGCAGGACCTGGCATCACAGTCGTGCTGTGTATGCTGGGGTCTTATCAGAGCTGAGCACAAAAGAAGATCAGAGAGATTAAATTGCTTCATATACTCAGCAGTATTCTCCAGACAAAATCATTTAAATCTCAACACCAGCAGAAAACTAAATTATCCTTTGCCTGAGCTCCTTTTGTCCTTACTAATACCTTTTTTGAAGAACTTTGGTAATGAACACACCTTCTACAAAATAATAATAAAAAATATAGCTAGCATATTGCAAATTCATGCTAAAACTTAGATTTTCAGCACATTATTTTTCAGTAAAAATGCCAATCTGCCATAAGCAATAATTTATTATGGTTCCTACAATGGTATGCCCATTGACAGCATCCCTACAGCAGAATAGCAAGCATTTCAATTGACTCTCTGAGCAGAGCCAAATTGGGATTAATTCTGCTGGTTTGTGATGATTTCCAAGTGATAATGGCGGACATGAGACCAATATTGACATCAGGAGTCCTCAGATTTTCTGTTAATTTGCAACAAATCCCTAGTCTAGTGCCAGAACTTTCTGTTCAGACCCCATGGAATGGTCCTTAATAATTAAACAGAGTAATTCTGAATTCTCTAAATAATTGCAGGAGTTTTTTCATTTATTTTGCCTGAAACAACTTCAAATATTTTCCCCATTATATTAAGACTTCCCTTACAGGGCTTGTCCTTTTAAACAAGTTCTGTCCTGAAACCCTGAACAGGAATGGGTACCTTGGAGGCTTTATCTTTCAAGTTTTACTTGGCTCAACTTGTTATAAAAGGTGCAGTTAAAAAAACCCAACAATTGATACAAGAAGATCCCACAGAACACCAGAAATGGTAATGCAATTACAGCAGTAAATAATACACCTTTTGCAGCCAGATTCCAGTCTATGGCTCAGGCTATAGTTAGATTACGACAGAGGCTTGACTCTTCAGGTGTAAAGCAATGCCTACATTTGGTTAGCCTGTTCTCTTTATTTATACAGATCCACACTCATTATTAATTAGCTGATATTGATTGTGCCTCTTGGGGCCTGATTTAGATTCAATTACAACATGTAACTTTTCTTTGTACTTAAAGGTTTCATATCACTCCTGAGTCCTAGGTAGGAGAGTGGGGAATAAGGACTCACTGTCATGTTTCTCAATAGTGTCTTCTTAAAAGAAGCACTCTAACAAAATCTTGGAGATATGTAAATCACGTGATAATATTTTAAAGTTGGCCAGAGTAACTGTAGCATCTGTACTTACTGAGGTGTAACAGGATGGCCAGCCCCAGCCTCATGCCTCCCAGTGGAACTCAAACTGGCACCACTGCAAGAGAAGAACTGGTGGGTAACTTGGTGCTCTGCCTCACTAGGGCACCCTTTGCACATAGGGGTACCCAGAGGGGTACCTTATTAAAGTGACAGAGCCATAATAAAAATATAGAGACTAAAAGAAAACCCTGGCTTTGATTTAGTTCTAGAAAAAGATCTTTACACTTAATGTAAAATAAAACCAGAATGCTATCACCTAAAATACTGTAGCACTCAAATACAAGCAACTTAATCCTAACTAGATTCAGCAGGGCTGTTTGCAAAGATCTAACTCTTTTTCTGAAAGTTCTTGTTTCTTTTCATTAACTTGAAACAAAGAGAGAGGTCCTAATGAAGATGCTATTGAGAAATGCCTGATGTCAGGTGCTATGAATTTTGTCAGAGACAAGATATAACTGCATCTTAAAGTGTAGTGAAGAAAACCAGGTAATTTCAGCATCAATGCAAAAGACTCGTACGGGGGAACCTCAGCATGAACCCAAGGGAGGTTCATTGTGGCCTTGTGGCACCCTTCCTCTTCCTACCTACCTGGAGGAAAGTGACACTTGTCAACATAAAACCTCTGCTGAAAAAACAAAGGCAGCCATGGGTATAAAAGACAACCCAGCATCCTGCCTCAAGTAGAACTCCCAAACCAAACCTACCCCTGTCTTTGCACCTTCCACCTCTTTCTCCATCTGTAGGCACCAGTGTACCCTGAAGCAGCTCTGGCTGCTGGGGCATCCCTGTATGAGCAAAGTGCCACTTCCCAGTTCAGTTCTTGTTCCTCTGAACTAAGATGAAATATCCCCCCAGAGCAGGCAGAACATAAGGAAAGGCAATCAAAGCATTTCAGTTGTTACTGGCTCTGTGTGGGCTTGGTTCACACAGCTCTATACAGCACACAACACAACAGCCATACCTAGATGAGTACTTCAGCAACCACAGGTAGGGAAAGCTATCAAGGGTTGCCAGGCTTTCATGCTGCTTCAGCTACTCTCACTGCCAAAACTGCAGAGAGCCTGGCATGTGAAAGGAAGATGATGCTGGTGAGCATCCATGTAGCTGTGCCTGGCTCCGTGGCTACACAGAGAGCTGGCCACAGATCCACTGTCTGAGGCAAAATTGAGCAAACTGCTGTGTTGGACTTTAAATTTTATACTCTGTCAGAATAATGGACAGACTCAGAGATGATTTAAGCTGCAACCACTGTGACAGCACTGTAGTGAAATATAGGTATCCATGGTAAGAGTGATCTTGGCAGGTATACATCCCAATTCCTACCCTAACACTGTGACATTCAATACCGATGATACTCTTTAAACATGACTCCCTTTAACAGAGAAACAAGGACCAGCAAAACCCCAACATACTTTAGTTCCATGCTTAGCAGGAAAATTAAAAGATCTTACCTGGGTTCCAGGCAGCCAAGTGTCGCGGCTGGAAATGAGCACAACTAACTGAGGGAAGCAAGCAAAGGCAAACCAGTGCACTTCAGCTGGAGGAGACAGCGCGTCCCCCGAGGCACCAAGGTGTAGGTGAGAATGAGACCCAGCCTGCAACCTGTCAAAAGCTTGATTTGTGAACTCCTTCTGCTTCTGGCATCAGCAAATATGTTCACTGAAAGACAATTGTGACAGGTTAAGTTCATGGCAGAAAAAGTTCATGCAATTGAAAACAGAAGGCTGGGATTCCTAAAGTGCTGGCACACAACCCTTTATCTGTTGTTTAATTAAACATATGTTCAGTTAGTCTGGTTTGAAACTAAACGTCAAAGTCTTTACATCTACTTAACATCAGAAGTCTAGTGGCACTGTGGTATCTGAACACGGGCTAGAAAGGATGATCCCTCGCAAAAAGGGTGTGAATGGTCTGGCAGGGCTGATTTGGGGTTCTGAGGTGACTGTAAACATGCCCACCAGACAGGTGTGATCACACTCAAGTGGACATATCGAAATAACTTCGAATTAGTTCAGGCTCTGGATAATTGTTGTGAGCACTACGGTTTTCTCAATTTAAAGGTAAAGACAACATGGCAACATGAACCACAACTTTGCATTTCAGCACAAGCTTTGCCTGTAAATGTCCTTGGCAGCAAGCACAGTGCAGGGTGATGTGTGGGGTACAGCGCGGTTGTGGGAAATGCAGTGATGAAGGAGCTCCGAAATGGTGTTCACCAACTCATGCATGGAACTGGCCACTGTTTTTTGGTGTCTTTGTTGAAACCTGTGGCACTGTGATTCCAGTTTCCAGAATGGCAAGTTGTCTTGATACACATTTTTGGTTGTGAAATATATGTGTTATCAGTTCTCCTCCGACTGCTTGTACCTGTCATCACATCCTTAAACAGAAGGTTTTCTATATGTGTAAAATATGTTAATCATTGCTTTTCTTTTGGCAGTTCTTATTCTTTTGTAAAAAAAGGTATGTGTTCTTTAATCCTATTGCAATGCTTAGTGTCCTCTGCCATCACTTTGATTGTTCACTGTAGCAGAAATAATTCTTACACTTGGATTTTTTGAAATTATTTTCCTCAAATGCATGTAGAAATTACTTGTGAGACACTTTTTTTCAGGCTAATTTAATCTGCATTTGGTTTGCACTCATGCATGATTACTTACTGTACAGATGGCTCATACTTAGTGGGTTTCAGTATTAAGAAATGAAAGACTAAAATATATATTAAGATATTAGATTTACTTTTTATGTGTAAGCAGTATGTCAAACACTCCCTGAAAGAGTGAAATACAACTGAAGAAACTATTATTATTATGATGCTACTAAATTATACAATGGTTGACATGTTATTAGCATATATGGTAGGGAATTCAGAATTTGTTACAGAGAAGTTATGTGAGAAGCAAATATCAAACAAGATTTATTTGCAGAATATAGCCAGTCCTGTGTTCTGATTTATGTAAGACCCCAAGCAAGAAGGAGGTTTTAAACTGCTTGAGGCAGGGATTAAGAAACTTCTTTCTTGCTTCTTTAATCTCTCCATTGGTAAAGGATCTGGATTTATAAGGCATCACTCGTCCCATGCTGGCTGGAGGGTAGATAGCACCGGTGTGTGATTTTTCAAGTCATCACAGGTCCGAAGGTTGTAATTTCTTAGGCCCAAGGCATATCCGTAATACACACAAAGGACAGGAATTGCTAGCACAGCAACATATATTCCCTTCACACACCAACCAGCAGTGAGTGAAGAGGGCAGGAATAGAGACACCACTTGAAATTTTCAGTAAGAAATAAAATTATTTGAGCCTAAGATTACTGTTGCCATGTGAAAAATAAGTATTTAATCTAAAAAAATAATCACCTGGGCTTCCTTTGTGTCAATGGAGAAAGACAGGAATCCCTACAGATCCCATCCTACCACCTTCTTTAGACACTTAACTTACAGGGATAAATTCCCTTTCAGAGGTATCTGCTGCTTTCCCCCCAGCTGGGGCAGCCCAGCTCCCTAGCTTAGGGCAGATGCCTGTACTTTTGGCAACTAAAATGTACTGAGATGAATCCCATCCATGGCCAAAACCTTAGATGAAATCTAATGTTCTGAAAAGCAAAACAATCTTGCTATGTTTCTCTCTCTGCTCTTTTGTTTCTCTCTCATTTCTTCAAGCATACCTTATGCTTAAAGTGTACTTTCTCAAAGGCAAAGACTGTATTTTTTTGAGTTTCTACATATTGGGGGAATGTAGCACTGAATAATAAAACCATAATAAATTGTAAGTTTACAATCAAATAAGAGAAGAGGTTTTTTTTAATAAATCTGATCAGGAGAGAGCTAAGGGCAGCAGAGGAATATGCTACAGAGCTCAGGTGTGTCAGGAGAGGGAGGCCACCCTATCCCCCAGCCTCCTCACCTCCACATCCCACCGGCTGGCTGCTCCTCCATATCTTGCATCCTGAAGCAAATGACTAGATTTAAACTTGTATTTCATAATTATTTTTAATGAGCTTTTCCACAATTCAAAAGGATGTCAAGTCTATTTATAATTTACTTTCTAACAGTCACAGCACCCCCCAGTGCCCTTCACTGCCCTTCGAAGTCTTTGCGTTTTCCACCTTAAACAAGAAATGCAGTTTCAACTCAAATATTATCTCCCTGGCAGGCACAGCATTGCTGATAGTAGTAATAAACACTAAAGACAAAAAAGAGAGTGGATTTGTTTAAAATATCAGTGTGATTTTCTAAGTGTTAGTCAAGCTATATACATTCAAAATACATTTCACGTTATTTCCTAAGGACCTGACATTTCCAAGCTGGCAATATGACTGGCAGTAGGAGAAATCTGTCACATACCCTGTTGCAGTCTCATGTTTACTCATGTCTCATTTACTCAGTGAGTTCATGCAGTAAAACAGGACCAGGCTGTTTCTAGGAACCTTCTCACATCAATAAACACAAGTGCTTGAAATTTTTAATTTTTAATTGTTTTGCTGGCCTATTAATCAGAAATAGTTATTCTCCCTAAATTCAAGAGGAAAAAAATGGATTATTGCACATAAAAGCATAGCAGAGAGGACTAGAAAGGAAAAAAAGGAAAAGGAATATGCTCAGGAATAAAAAACTGAAGATACATGAGGAAAAGAAAGCAAAAGAGCTTTTCCAGCCTTCACAGGGTATTGCAGACTAGTCTCCAGGGCTGCCTCTGACCTCTCTCCCTCTTCTACCCTCCCAGCTAGACCTCCAGGGTGAACCCCAAGCTGGCTTCACCCTTTTATGGAGCATGGGGATATTGACAAACTCTGTTTACCAGTACCCAGCTCAGGCCACTGCATCCAGCTGCCATGGGACTGTGCCCATCAGTGCCACACTACATGGGACCAGAGACACAGCAGCATTGATGCCACATGCGTGGACAAAGGCTGAAGGCAGAGCACCAGCTGTGGAGAACTGTTAGACCAGCATAGCCATATGGTGAATCTGAACTTGCAGCTGCTCTGGATGCCCTCCCAAAGGGGCCTGTTCCCTTACCACAGTCCTCATGAATAGTTTTTCCCCCTTGTGGCAGTAACCATGGCTCATCAGGCCTTGAGCTAGAGCTCTGCTCTGTTTTGTACATTGCCAGGATAGCTATGGTGAGCTTTTCGATACATTTTTCTAGTTATGATTTATCATATCTGAATAAGAAATTGCAAAAACCCATGGGACCGGCATCCCCCTGATGAAGCCACTACCCTCCATGTGGGAATGCAAAGTGATGTCCAGTGTGGGAAGTCACAAATAAGTCTCCTTCCTTGGCATGCCCTGCTCTTTTCTTACATACGGCAGCATTGCCACAGCTGTTTGGAGAATCTCTGTTGGTTCCTTTACAGGTTTTGAGACACCAACAAAGACCCAGACTGAAGAAGTGTCTTCACCCTGGAGTATTTGCTCCTATAGGCTGTTGTCACCCACAGCTGCCTGGGGCCTTTGCTGTGTCCCTGCCAACCTTCCACAGGGGAACAAAGGGAAAGTACCCCAAGGAAAGCAGATTACCATCCCAAGCACGCATTCTGGGTTCCTGGCTTTATTTGGCCCCATTAAGACCACACAGAAGATTCCTCAATGATTGTGAGGAGAAAATTGCATTTTGAGGCTTTAATGGAAGTGTTGTAGGTTATATATCTAAATCCCACAACATAGGAATTAATCATGCACATTTTCTCTTCTAAAACAGAGTATCCATTAAAGAGGGAGATTACATCAGAGTTGCAGGAGTTAAGAGAAGCTATACTGATTACTTTATTGGGAATAATCTAAATCTCTGCATATAAGACAACTAAAAAAGACTTTTAAAAGCTAATACTTGCTTTGCATATGCCACCATTTTAGCAAAATGAAAAGGTTTGCTCAGAGAACTGATGCTTGTTTCAAGCCATTCAAGCCAAGGTGTTTCATATTAGTCACAAAAATTGGCTATTTTTAAAGTCAATTTGACCAAAGATGTTTTTTGGAAAGACATCTGTTCAACTACTTCAAGAAAACAAAAACTGCAAGTACACACAACATAGGCCAGAGAGTCCTTTCAACTCTGCCAACAAATTGGCTCAAGCAGCATGAAGAGCAGTCGCTGAATTAGATTTACCTGTATGCTTTTAAAATGTCAATAATACTTTGTTTTGAAATATCAAGCTATATTTTGGCAAACAAAAAATGAAAGAAAGCCCTTAGTAAACCAGGGTTAATAATTCTATTATAGCTGTACAAGGACAATAAATACAGAATTAGGATGACTGCAACAGTTTTTCACACGACAATCACTACCCTGCAACATAAAATAACAAAGCTTCTCACCAGAAAGCTTTTTCCACCACAATGTCTGTTAATAGGCCATAACAGTGCTCTTATTCTGCTAATGGTCTCTGTATTGCTGAAAGTGCTAAGAAAAGACTGTCCTATTTTTATTCATCCAAATTTGTGGCAATGTTCTGTTTTAAATCCCTATTATTAGATTTTCCATACCTGTCAGCCTAAATTATCCTAAGTAGTTTTCTGTAGGTTAAAGTAAATTCTTCTGCAAAGGTTAAAGTGATGTTGTTTAGAAAACTACCTTGAGCTCAGAAAATTTCTCTGGCCCCTGAGGAACCTCTGTGGCTCACTGGCTGTAGTGGGTTGACCCTGGCTGAACACCAGGTACTCTCTAAAGCCACTCTCTCCTCTCCTCTGCAACTAGATAGAGAAGAGAAAATACAACAAAGGGTTCATGAGTTAAGGACTGGGAGAGGGTCACTTGCCAATCACGATCACAGGCAAAACAGGCACAAAGTGGGGATATTAATTAAATTTACTACTAAGAGGATCAAAGCAGGAGAATGAGAAATAAAATAAATCTTAAAAAACACTTTCCCCCACCCCTCCTTCCTTCCCAAGTTCTACCTCCTCCTCCCACCCAGCAGTGCAGGGAGACAGGAATGGGTGTTATGGTCAGTTCATCACAGATTGTTTCTGCCGCTGCTCAGAGAGAGGAGTCCTTCCCCTGCTCCCCATGGGTTCCCTCCCATGGGAGACAGTCCTTCACAAACTTCTTCGACATGAGTCCATCCCACAGGCAACAGTTCTTCACAAACTGCAGCAACATGGGTCACTTTTCCATGGGGTGCAATCCTTCAGGCACAGGCTGCTGCAATGTGGGTCCCCCACAGGGCCACAAATCCTACCAGGAAAACCTTCTCCAGCATGGACTCTTCTCTCCACTGGTCAGCCGTTCCCTGCCAGGACCCTACTCCATCATGGGCCTCCCACAGGGTCACAGCCTCCTTCGGGCATCCATCTGCTCTGGCATGGGCTCCACCATGGGCTGCAGGTGGGTCTCTGCACCCCGATGGTCCTCCATGGGTTGCAGGGGCACAGCTGCTCCACCATGGTCTGCACCACGGGCTGCAGGGGCCTCAGCTCTGGCACCTGGAGCACCTCCTGCCCCTCCTTCTGCACTGACCTTGGTGTCTGCAGAGTTGTTGACACATTCTCACTCTGCCCTTCTCTGGCTGCAATTTTCACCTGCATAATAACTTTTTCTCTCCTTCTTAAATATGTTATCACAGAGGCGTTACTGTCATTCCTGATGGGCTCAACCTTGGCCAGCAGCGGGCCCATCCTGGAGCTGGTTAGCACTGGCTCTACTGGACATGGTGGAACCATCTGGCAGCTTCTCTCAGAAGCCTTCCCTGTAGCCCCTCCACTACCAAAACTTGGTCACGCAAACACTATACAGTGGTTTAGAAACGTTTTCTTCCAATACAGAAACCTGTTTGGGAACTCTGATGTGTGGTGGTGTTTTTTTTTTTTTTTTTGGCGGGGAGGAGTGTGAATGAACAAAATCAGAACCCAGAAGACCACAGTTTAAAGAAGAAACAAAGGGAAAACAGTCAATTCCACAAGTCCCTGCCCAAAAAACTAGGAAATTGAGATCTTCAGAAGGAGAACCTCACAGACAGAAGGATGACAGCTTCAGTTTGAGAAGACCAAACAGTGAAGAGAAGATTTTGTCCACTGGAGGACAACAGCAGTGGCAGCAGCACCAAAGTCTGGTGGTTAGAACTTCCATAGGAGGCACTGGCTCTGGTCCTCCAGTCGGAAGCACAACGTGAAACTGGCTTTTCCATCATTCTGGGAAACATCTGGACTACAAGTCTCTGAAATGAAAGAAAATCTGCTCTCATACTTTCTCCTTATTTTTTTTCAGGAACTTCAAATTTAAATATTATGTTTCAGATTGACAGGTAATAAAATAATTTTGGTTCTTTTAAATTCATTTTGATTAGTAAAATTGAGATGGACTGAAATCACTTTTCTTTCTCCTTACTTCATTGAATGGAAGAAATAGTTTCTTTCTTACATAATTGGAAAATAAAAGTAGCACAAAATCACTAGAAATCAGAAAAAGTACATTTAGATTGAAATGAATAAATCTTCAGGAAACTGCAGAAGCTTCAGGAAGGTCTGCCTGCAGGGTGAATAACTGGGAAATCTGAAGTTTTCCATCTGAAGTCATCAATACCTGTGACATGTGTGGTGTCTGGTTGTGCACCATAAGAGCACCCTCACACAGCTCCTCTCCTGTGGTCATCCACGAGGTCCCTGGTTGCACAAGACAGCAAGCACAGAGCAGACAGGAGTCAGATGAATCTGAGCTCAGCCAAAAGCATCAACAGCTACACGTACCTTCTTTTGCCTAACTTGGCAATGTAAACAGCTAAACTGACATTTTGGAGATTCTCCATTTTCAGTCCCAAATGAAATTTAATACAAAGGCTTCTGAAGGTATCTAAATCTATCAACATATACATTTTAATTACCTAGAAGCATGACAGAATGATGGCTGGCTGACTATCAGCTGTTTAATTTTATTTGCGTCTATCCTGTAACATCTGGAATCTGTACAAATACAGGAAGCATCACACAAAAGTCACACATAAGATAAGTGAGGAGAAAGATTAGATTTTGTCATGATCCTAATGATATAATCAACATAGCAGTAGCACGGCCGGAACACTACATGCTAGTGAGTTGGAGACTGCTGGATAGATTTATATAAGTTTCCCAGGATCAAGAATATATAAGCTCTGCTTTCTCTCAAGTATTTAATTACATCAGATGGAAGAAAGCAGAAAAAATTTGTCTCACTTCACTTTCCTGATCTCCCCTTGTCACAGGGAAGGAAGGAAAGCGTTGTCACCACCAGGCAGGAGCAGCTGGGTACGATAGAAACCCAGCCAAGCACAGAAAATGCCAACAGCAAAGCCGGAGAAGGAAATACCTCTTGCTTTCAAAAGCTATTAGCGAGGCACTTCCTTTTCAGAGAAAGAAGGAAGGAAGCAATCTTTCCCTTGCTGACCACCCATGTGGAGCACATTTCAACAGCAATTGGTTTGTTCACATGCTGCCTGTCCTTTCTCACCAGGTAGTTTGTGACCATTACCCCGAGCTGCCAGAGCAGAGTCAAGGGAGTTATGTCTGTGAACATCAAGCCAGATGGCACTTCAGTCTCTGAAGATACTGCTGTATCTTGAAGGCTAAGTAGCCTGCAACACAAGACAGGGTAGAAAACGACCAGAGTTTGGGGAAGCCAGGTTGATTTAAAGTTGGAGACTGAGAGGGTGGGAGAGGGAAGAGAAGCAGATGATTCAAGCACCCTGGCAGGGAAAAGATTTAATGTTTGAAAAGGTCCATCGGTAATCATAGGGCCATAGACTGGGCAAGGAAGATGTGGAGAGAGCTGGGCAGGGGATTATAGAGAGTATGTTGAAAGTTGTAGCCAGAAGTTGGGTCTCAGTCAGATGGGCATCAAAGAAGTGTCATGTGCTAGCAGTTCATAAAAAAAGTATTGCCATGCAGAAACAGAGGCTGAAAGAAAACAGGACACTCCACAGACGTGGCTACAGGGTCTCCATTCCCTGCATGGGCAGGTCTGTGCAGAAATACAATGGTTGTTTGAAGAGCTGGGATGCATTAGACCTACTGGTCATTTTGAGGTGCTCACCTAAGAGTATCCTGACCCCTTCAGATTGCCTTGCAGATGTGTTATGAAAATTAATGGAAACCCTGATGGTTGCCAGATTACACTTTGACTAGATAAAGCTTAATTACCAGTTCTTATTTTTGGAAGGTTCAGCTCTCACCAAGCATATTCAAATTGTTACAGAAAGCAACAGGCATGGTAAAATAAATAAATAAAACCCCTCACCAATACAAGAAGCTCATGTTCTTTACTATTAAAATCAAAATAATATTCTTATAAAGTAAAACCTTTCTAGCAATTTGCCAAGAATTCTTTAAACTTGTTTGGCCTGACAGAACAGCAAGAGAAGAATTTTCAAGAAAACTCACAAGATTTATTTCTTATAGAACCCAAACAACAAATGTGCATACTTACCTACACCACAAAGTTTACAAGTTTATAAGTTTGGGGAAATCTGATGATTCCTGCTGATTAAGTGTCAACTTACATGCATACTACTAGTATAATTCTAACACCACAAAGGTCACAATGACTTGAAAAATTTTGATGAAATACTAGTAAGACTATGTCAAACTTATTATTTACGAATATCCTAGTATCAGCTCATGTATGACTTACCCAGATCTCTCCCAAACCCTCAGAAAGACTTTAGTGTCTTTTATGCAGTTAACACATAGCAATGTCTTTTCTTCTATCAAGGTAAATGGTTCTTGTCCCTCCACTATGCCATCTAACACCATTCTCAATCAGGTAGCCTGGCAGAAGGCCAAATACTTCCTACCATCCAGGCTTTTAAGACTAGCAATACTTTTCAAGACTAACTTTTATGCTGGGACAAAGCAAACTTGTAGCAAATGAGTAAAAAATAGTGTATTTGTGAATACAACTTCAGAGAAGCTTTGAGAAACCTATTCATTAATGGTTATGTGTTTTTTCAGGAAAATTGTGTGCCAAAGAATGGAAACCAGAACATTAAAATCAAAGAAATACTGAAGGTCACAAAATATACTAGTGTGTCTCTGTTTCCTGATTTGGCCTTGTGCTATGTTTAGACAATTCAAGAGCATTACGCAAAAGGATTAGTGTTTTTATGTAACTTTATCAATTATCAAAATATTTCTGTTTTGTAATCACTAATTACTAAAAATAGCCAAGTGGTGAAAGAGCAGGATTTATTACTAACCTGACATTTGTAATCTAGACAGGAATTCAGTTCAGTGACTGATGTTCCCTTTCTCTCCACGGACACCATACAATCTAGTAACAACATACATCATCTCTGCTGAATGAAAGACACAACTTGGAATCCACTATCTGTCTACACCAAACAATTTAAACTTTTAGGAAAAGAAAAAAAAACCCCAGGGATTACACTAACATTTTTAACTACAGCTTTCACAGCAATTCACTGGAGGGCTTAGGACTTATCCCTGCTCCCCTATGAGCTCCCCATGAGCTTCATGAAACAGCCGCATAAATTGCATCTTAAAACGTTAGCTAAGTCACAAAAATATTCAAAATAAGAATTAGGATTAAATTACCTTTAAAAAAGAGATTTTTAATCGTAAATATTTATGTATTAAAAGAGTGGTGATTATGCAGAACAAAGCCATTCTGTTTACACGATGTATTAGTGGGAAATAGGATTGCTTGAGATAGCCTCAGTAGCTTTAACATCGTCTTCCTTACAGCGAACTGGATTGTTCTGCTTTTTGAGACTCCATGACAAGAAATCTTCACTAAGATAATTTGAAAAAGATCTCTCAAAAGACCAGAAGTGGAGCCGAATTGGAAAACTGACGTGAGAGAACAGGGAGACCACGGCTTCCTTTCATCAACAGCTTGTCTTTACAGAAAGCCGGCACAGACCACGAAAATGGAAGCCCATCAATAAACACCACGGCAGCGGCCGTCTGCGTTACCGCACTGCACCCGCCGCTCCCCTCACGGAGGGACGGCACCTCCATCCCGCCTCCGGGACACGGCTCAGCGGCTCCGGCCGCGGGCAGCCGGGATTCCCCAGCCCCTCCGCGGGCAGAACCGTGGGCAAGCCGAGCGCGGCACCGGGGCTGGGGACACCGCCCTTCCCACCGCCTCCTTCCCGCTTCCTGGAGCGTGGTTCCCCCTCATTGGCCGAGGGCGCTCCCGCCCCATCCCGCTCCATGGTGTCGGGCTGTTCTCCCTCACCACCCACCTTTACCCCTTCCCGTCCTCTCACCGCTCGGCCGCGGGACTGATTTTATACCCCTCCGCCCCCTTTCCAACCACTCCCACCCCTCATTTCCATATTTGCTCGTCTGCACCTGTATTTCCTCTTCTCCCTAAATGCCACCTCGATGCCTCCACGAGGTAAAGCGGCTGCTCTCTCAACCCCTGTCTCGCCTCACCCCTCCAGGCCCTCCCGGCCGATCCCCGCTCCTGCTTCCCGGTCTTTCCCTCGCGCTAACAAAGTGCTTTTTCAGCTATCGTGAACCACCTGTGCAGGCGACAGTAGCAGTAGCAAACGATGAGGGCTTGGGTTGAGCCTCGACGTGCTTTATCTAGGTTTTTATTTTTGTGTGCCTTGCGTACGGTTTCCACCATTTTAACTAACGCCGAAGTGTGTTGAAGTGCAGGCGGGCGGCATCTGTGCGTGTTTACTTTTGCTTCTCTTGCTTAGTCTACTACCATGCTCTTTGTTATTGTCTTTGATTTCAATGTCCTTTGTAGCCCAGCGTTCCTGGGAGATTTTTTTTCTGTCCTACTTGCTTTGTGGTTTGCTCCACTGTACAGATATGAGACATGTGGTTTCCTCTCTTCGCACACATCAAGGAACTGTATAAATCACCAGTGTTAAGAAGTGCTGGGTTTTTTAGGAAGGCAGTTGTATTTTTGTATAGATGACTGCATTCAAGTCTCAGGGTGCTTTGGGATCTTATTAAATACCATACTGAAACAAAGTGCGTAAAGCCCCTGGGCTCACCTGCGTGGCTTGCTGCTGGCAGCTGGATTTCTTCCTCCTCGTCAGGCTCCTGAAGGTAATTTGGCAGATACTTATAGGCTGCCACCACTGAGGTGTGATCAGGAGAGCAGAAAACAGGCACACAGAGGCATAAGGAAAGGAATTAGTAGTCTGGTACTTGATGGGTGAAGTACAATCACTGTTATGTCGCTTTAGCACAGTGCAGTCAAATATATACTGTTAGTGTAATGTACAGTGTTATCACTATATAAGTTTTCTCTATTTTTCTTAAATTCTGAAAACTGTTTCCTGTGTTTTCCCTCATAAAATCCCATGGAGACATCTGTAGTTACAAATATGACTATAATGGTGCAAAGCTGCAAGCAGTTCTGTCCCGTGCCACTTGTCTGTAAGAGCTGTCTCCATGTGGTGTTGAGCACTAGTGCCGAGCCCATGTTTGTCTGTGAGCAGACTGGATTGCTTTAGCTCATAGCCTGTGAGAACATCTGTTGAGCATCTCTGCTGCACAGCTAATAATCAGATCTATCAGCTTCTCCTTCCAGGACTCAGTGCTGAGAGCATTTCAAGGGAAAACAGGGCTTAGCTAGCAAAATCCCTGGCTGCTGAATTACAGCCTGGGCCACTGGCATGTCAGTGTAAGAGCTTTATGTGCTGTAGCTAAAGCTGCCTGCTCTTTCTGAGATGAGGGAACAAATGTACAGAGGAACATGTTTTTACCCTGGTTATTTATCTCTTGTAGTATCATCCTCCCACCGCCTTTTTCTTTCTGTCTGATCCAATTATTATAGATGCTAAAATGATGGAAACAGACCGATCAGAATTCAGTGAGAACATTGGCAGGTTGCTGTATCTTTCCTTCCTTGAGACCCACTGTCTGCCTATCCCTAAAAAGCAAAAAATACTCTTTGAATCTGTTCCTATTGCTTTCTGATTTTCAGGTTTCTTTTATTCCCAAATCTGAACAATTGTTTAATTCAAATTGTGTATACTTTGGCATGCTAGTTGAAACTCTTTTTCTAGGGATCTACATTTTCCTCTAAACCATTAAAAAGAGAAAATCTGAATTAATGCTGTGGAATTCATCCCTATCTATTTATGGGGGGTGGGTTCGTTTTGCTTGCCTCATTATAAAAAATACTGGAGTTTTCAGTCTTTCTTCTTTCTGATCTGTGAATAAAAACATTCAGTATAATTTTTTTCTTTTCATTAAATCTTACATGGAGCAACTTTTGTTGAATCATTTTGATGTCACCTAAAATGTTAGTACTTCCCAGAAGATACTGGAGAGCTCCCTTTTTAACTGCAAGATGTCTATGTTTGATCAGCTACTTGTGGGCAGGGTGGCAGCAGCATAATGGAACCCCATGATAATTGACTGTTTTGGCAGCAGCACAGTTGGAAAGACTGCAGGGGACTCTGGCATAGAGAATGAGAGTTGCTGGAATTGTAAGGAAAAATCTGGAGACAGACTAGTCTTGTTACTAAGGCTTGTAGTGAGGCAGTGCCTTTTTATTAACTCCACCAGCACAGAGCAGAGAATTTGGGTATACGTGAGCCCTCTTACTTTTTTTCACTTCAGGTCTGAAGACTGGCTTGTGAGCTTAAAATCTTCCCTTCCCCAGTATTACAGCCCACTGTCCTAAATACTTTTCCTTTGTAGTTAACCCAAGATATCGCCTCTCTTCAAACACTGCCTGCTTCTATATCCATAGTGCTCGAAACAGTATTATCCCTACAGGCCACGTTATCGTGCTTTTTTCCGTTAGCTTCAGAAGGTACTGGCACATCACTTTAAACGATCACTCAGTGCCTCACAGCTTCTCAAATTCTCCGGAGCGGGGCCGTATTTCCCGCGGGCTGCGGATCTCATCGCGGCTCCGCAGTGCTCCCCTCTCCGGCCGGGGCCCGGCCGTGCGGGGACCCAGCGGCAGCCGCCGCTCCATACGAAGCGCACGGGCTGGGAACTACACCCGCTGTTTCCATAGGCGCGTCTTTCTCCTTATCCCTTCCCGCTCGCCAGGTCTCTCATCCCACCGCGCCGGGGCGGCGCATGCCCGCGGCGCTCGGAGCATGCGCGCAGGGGCGGGCGGGGCGCCCCGGCGCTCCCGTCGGCCCGCAGCTGCCGCGGGTGTCGGCGGCGGAGCGAGCCCGCCCCGCCGGCGGTGCCATGCCCAGCGCGGCGCCCGCCGAGCAGCGCCCTAAGGCTCCTCGTTCGCCCCGTGCGGCCTCGCCCGCGGCGCTGGGCAGCGGCGGCAGAACCGAGAGGTAGGGGAGAGCGGGGGCGTGGCCTGTCCCGTCCCATTCCGCGGCTCCCGGTGCCTGGCGGCGGCCCCGAGCTCCTGTGGCCCGCACGGGCGTGTGGGCTCCGGGCTGGCGGCCGGGCCCTCCCTCGGCGTGGGCAGCCGGGGCCGAGCCCCCGGGAGGGGGTTCATGCGTGGGGCCGCTCCGCGCCCGTGGGAGCGGGTGTTCGGACTCCCCGGTAGCGGCTTCACTACCGAGGTGTCCGAGTAAGCGAGAACTGCCGGAACCCCTCGCGCAGGTTGGGGTTCAGGGTGCTTCGAGTGGGCGCTCTGGTCTCGAGTTGCATTTGTGCTATGCTTTATCCTTTTTTTAGCTAATAATAATAATAACAACGTTTTTTAAACGCAATTGGTTCTTGGGTTCATAATATCTTACTTTCACAGCATTCCAAGTTTTGTACTTGGTGTTTCTGCGGTGTCTGTGTTGAGATGGGTAGAAGGAAGGGATCAGGTGTCCGTCTGGGTTTGTAACTGAAAATGAGTCTGTATGTTTGTCATGGTTTGAGATTGGGATTAAAGAAACCGATGAACAGATTGGATATTTCTAGCTGGATTACAAAAATCCATGTACTTACTGATGAAAGATGATTTAGAAAGTTGCCTAGTGAAGTGCTCACAAATTTCCTGTATTTAGCTTGTGCCTCTTTACGGTGTGCTATCACATGTTTACAGGTATTTACACACGTGATAGCAGAGAAGATATGGGGAAAATGAAATGGTGCTAAATTGGCTTCATTGCCTGTCTGTGTAGGATAGCAGGCAACCCTGGCCCGTGTTTCCTCTGTGCTAAGGAATGTTATGGCTCCACTTGTGTTCAAGCAGCTGCTTTGCCATGTCTGTGCTCTGAAGTTTTCCAACTTTTCCTTAAGCTAATCTGAATGAGTTGAGATAATTCTTTAAAACACAATTATGGGGTGTAGTAAGGACAGAACCCTGATTCCCTGATGTTTTGGAGTTTTTTATGCTGTGTAACCAAAAGCCTATTCCAGCACCTATCTTCTCTGTGCACTCCAGAAACTGTGTTTCTTTGAATCTTCTGCAACACACACAGAGTACCATTTTATTGATTTCTGCAGCCTGACCAAGTGCAGAGTCTCTGTCTGAAGTGCGTTCGTATAGTGAGAAAGTTGCAGGCATAGATGATCATTCTTCATGTGTGAACTTCCATTTCCAATAAAGCTTTGCATGATGGTTTTTGTAGCTTCAGAAATTCTGGGTGAAGTGCAGCAGTTTCTCAGAAGAAAAACAACAGTGTCAACTTGTTAAAACATGCAGCGTATTGGCAGGACCAGGTTGTGAGCATATTTGCATGATTTGGAAACAGTTTAGGACACTATTTCCTGGGCTGGCTGCTTCTCTTGGCATCTTGCTGCTTAACATGACTCCAAAGAGAGCGGAGATCATGTCATGGACAGAAATGATTATGAAAGATGGAGTTAGGATTTGATACATAACTTGCTTTGGGAGGTATTTTTATAGAGAAAAAAATTGGTCATTTTATGATAATAATAATAATATTCTGCAACTGTAAAAATGCAAAATACACTTTTTTTTCCTTTAGGATATAGTTTGTGCCTGCATTGGCTGAATATAGGGGCCCAGAGCAGGCTGACATCCTCCCAAGTTTATGCAGCCTATGAGATATTTCCTGCTAAATCAGTGAGCTCCATGCATTGTCAGGTCTGTTTAGCAAGCTTACTTCAGGACTGAGTTAGAGAAGGTTTTTTTTATTTTTAAAAAAAAATTAATTTAAAATTCAATATATTTGTTACCAATCAGAACTTCATGGAGAAAGAAATTAATCATAGTAATTAAATGGTGAATGTGCTGGATGTGGCTGGAATGTAAGTGGCAGTGTTCAGGCCAACTTTAACAACTTTCTTGAAGCAAGAGTGACCATCCAGTTGTCTAGTATGTGTTTCTTGAAAACATATTTATGAGGTTTTAATTGCCTTATTATCACTTTATAGTTATAGCCAGTCAATTTGGGCAGTATTGCTTGTGTCTTTTAATCACAACAATTTATTCTCAAATCAGAGAGAATATATGAAGGAGGAGGTGGAGGAGTGTGCTGAAGATGAGGCGACTGAATCGCAAGAAGACCTTGAATTTGATGAAAGAATTGGATGCCTTTCCAAAGGTTCCTGAAAGCTATGTGGAGACTTCAGCGAGTGGAGGCACAGGTAGGCCTTGTTGAGATGCTGACATTGATAGCAGCTTCAATAGGAGGAAGACAGGCATCTGTGTTCACTTGAAACTAGCCAAAATTGGTTTTTGATTTCTTTGTTGGACTGTCTGAGCTCATCCCCTTAAAGTAAATATCTTATTCAGACAGATGCATCCATCGCTTATCTGAAGGGAGATTTTTGTATAAAGCTGGTGAGAGTCAATGCAACGTGAAGGTTCACTGTAAAAACTTCTACCCACTTACAACTGGAAGTGCACTGTGCCAAGGCTGTCATAAAATGTTCTCATTTGTTGTCTCACTAAGCCCTTTTCTTGGTGTCAGGTTTCTGGTTGAGACTGAGCATGAACTGAAATGATGGTGGGATTCAACACTGTGCTTTTGTAAAAGAGGAAAAACATTCTCCAGACGCAGATAAGTTGAACATCAGGATGAAGAGCAGCTTTCTAAAGCTTTTTTCTTGAAGGTGTAGTTGATTTTAAGAATAAAGAAAGCCCTTTGAAGAACTAAACACTTTACTTCAGGACATGTGCTTGTACTGTCCTTATTAGTCACTTGAGCTTCTCTGAAAAAGCTGTAGCTGTAAAAACTATGTTTTCTTTATTTATCTGATCATAAAATTGTGCTTTTAAGTTGAGCTAAGTTAGAGGTAGCCTTATCTGGAAATAGGGACTATTGGACTATTGGAATTATTTGCAGTTAGACAGGAAACTGCTAGCACTTAGTCTGAAATGGAGGACACAAATCTTTCTCTTGTGTGATTATGTCTGAAACTCAGTTGAGTAAAAAGTTCAAAGCCTTTGAAGTTGTTACACCACTTGTAGTGTAGAAGTAAATATCACAAGGATCTATATTACTTTGCTACATTTCCTGAATTGCACTATTAATGATTAAAGGATTATTGCATATAAAATAATCCCTAAGAAGTGATTAAATAACTTTGTTAATGTCTCAGTTCCTGAGAGAGTTGTTTCTATGTTGTAATTTGCAGAAAAACAATAAATGCTTAAAAAAGTCCTTCTTTTGTAGTATAGCACCTTCATGAGAACTTCACTTTGGTGAATGGTGCCTTAAGGATTTCTCAATACCAGAAATTACTTTAGCATTCTTTGGTTTTATTCCAGTAACCTTATAAATAACAATATAGGATTGTCTTATTCTGTGCTATTATGAAATCTGAAATAGTATTCCTGTTTCATTCAGGATTGAAATGCCAGGCTTACTTTCTGGTATGATAGAGATCCAAAACATACCAGGACTCTTCTCAGAATTTCAGTGCCTTCAAACCCATTACAAAAGAAGTACCAGTCTCTCAAAGAGGCTGAGACTCCAGCTCTTGGGCTGGGAGACCCTTGAGACAAGAGGATCTGTCTTTGGAAATTCTACAAGACTTTATTTGCCTGTTCAGATCCACAGATACCTTCACGCAGAATTACCCAGAAAGCAGCAATGGCTCTAATTGTTCCTGTGTGGCTTTGGGTAGTCAGTATGGTTCCAGCTTTCCTATTGCCTAGCTGGGGTGAGTCTGTCCTACTGGGCTCCAAAAGGATATTGATAGCCAGAATAATTAAATGATTAGTGCATCTGCTTTCACAATTCACATTGACATGAAGGTTTTCATATATGTGGTTGTTACATGTGTCAACTGAAAGCTAGAACTGGAAATGTTGCTAATCAATGCAACAGTCAATGGTTTCTTTCCTGGTCCTGAAGGACAGTGCCTTTATTCCCGTGCTCTCACCTCTGGCCTGTGGACCACTGTGTAGTGAGTTGAAGCCTATCAACAATGGAGTTGTTTTTTCTCAAGTTGCCCTTTGCAGACTCCATAGAAATGCTCCACAGAATGCAAATGAAAAATGTAATCAGTGTCAGTAAGCTCTACAAATTGCTACTATGCTCCATAACTGAAGTTTTTTCAACTTAACAAAAGCCATGATTTAATAAAAGGGGCATAGCAGGGTATGCTATGCTTCTGGGTATCTGTTACTGTGTTTCTGACTATGTGCAGCAGGAAGATCTTCCCTTTGCATTGTACAAGTTTGCAAGTGTGATGAATAGGCTGCTTTGGAAATAAGTGAGCCACATATAGCACTAAAATAAACCAATTAGTTTTCATCCTAAAAACAGTTTCAAGTCAGTTCTCTACTTATTTAGCAGTTGGTACAATTGGATAGCTACGTGTTGCTGATCACCAGAGAGAGAATAGTTCGAAATATTGGGGTGGGAATCCTGACTGTGCATCTATACATAAGTAATATAATGCATATTATTTCTCTTGTTTGCTGGCTTCTTGACTCTCAAACTTGATATAAAAAAAACTGTTACAAAAACTTAAGTTGTGGACAAGGGGAGACTTGAAGGAATTTCAAGGTGCTCTACCTTCTTGCATGCTTGAGTTTAGAATTGAGTTTGCCTAGACCATTCCTGACAGTGATTTGTGGGCTTTTTACATGTGGAGGAGGATATAGCCTGTTCCTAAATGTTCCATATTAGGAGTTTCACAACCTCCTCATCATTCTAGAATTTGACTGTACTTAAAAAGTACTTTCTTGATGCAAAGGTATGACTTGTTCTTTTCCATTCTTGTGTAAAAACAAATATGGTAAATATGAAAACAACTTTCTAAGAGCAGCTTGTGGATTTGTAAATCAAAGATGCCAGCATTGTACTGGTCATGCTCAATTCCTGGGATGTTAGAATTTTGTTCTGCTTGTTTCTGAATAATATTTCTCACAATCTAAAATTCTACCTTTTTTTCCCTCTGACCAGTTTCTCTGATAGCATTTACAACAATAGCTTTCCTGACTGTGATGGAATTCATGGTGTACCGGGACACATGGATGAAATATGAATATGAAGTAGACAAGGATTTTACTAGGTAACTTTTTAATTCCTTTTAAAACTTAAGTTGTCTATGTTTCAGGGAAGAATAGATTTAAAAGGTTCACGTGACTTGCAAGAAATTTATGATTGAAATTAAAAATGAAATACTAAAGGGACTTGATTTTTCTTCTGTTGATTGATTTGGGTTTTTTCTTTTCTGAAATCTACAAGGAAGATAAATTGAGATTTCTGCAATGAGGAAATCAAAGTAGTGTAGGTTTGTTGGTGAAGGAGTTGCCTGAGGAATTATTTGCTAACAATTCAGAGAACATTGTAATGCTTAACTGCACATCAGCTCGGTAAACTCACCACATTGGCATGATTCTTACTCTAGTTCATACAGTTTGTATGTTGCCATTATATTTTGTGTGCTGGAGGTGAACCTGAAGCACTCAGAACTTTGACTGTCTTATCTAGAAGTTGCTACTGATCTTGCCTCCAGTTACAGCCCCCATGAAGATACATTTACTGATAGTTTCATGTGCTTGTCTGGGCTGTGTTTGCCTTTCTTCCAGAGATGGTCAGGCACCCATGAGTCCCTGTGAAAGAAATGCAGATTTCGTGCCCTGAGCACCTTTAAATGTCACACGTCTGGGACTGAAATAACTTTAAAAGCTGTTTGACTAGTTGCTGTGGTAACAAGCTAAAGATAGATATATTAATTGGATGTCTTGTACATCAGAAATAACGAAGGGTCCTGTAGTGAAAAAGATATGAAAAATTTAAAGGAGCTGCATCAAAAACTCAAGTAAATCCATTCAGACAGATGAGAGTTTCAGTTAGGCCTTTGCTAAAGTAGGTTATATCCCCAGCGAAGCTATCACATGGGAAGGGTAGTCTGTCAGTTAAGAGACTATTATGGGATTTGGGAGACGGCCTACTACAGATTTCCTGGTTTGATTGTGGGCTAATCACTCAGCCTGTGGTTCTTGACAGTTAAAACCAATGGAGACTGGTGTCACTGTAACTGCTTTTCTCCTCTCTGCTGACCCTTTCTGATCCAAAGTTGAGCCACTGTGGAGTCCCTTGCTTATGTGATTTGCTTGTGGTCAGCTAAGTTCCAGAAGCAGCCCCCTGGAGGTAATAGAGCCATGTGACTGTAGCGAGGAGGTTTATTCATTATAATTTAAATTGCTTTTGTTAAACTAACATGAAAACCAATAGGAAATGCCCAGAATATATGAGAATGTCACACATCAGACTTTTGGTGAGATGGAGGTTATCTCTTAAGTTATGAGTGGTTTAATATGCTCCAAAAGTCCATCTGTGAACAGATTAAATTTATATTTGTTGGTGTAAATTTTGTTATTTGACTATGTTTCTGCAAGTACTCTGGTATTTTTAGCAGTATGTCTCTTGATGCTTGTACTCAATATGACTTAATAGCTTTTTGCCTTTTTTTTTTCCAGTAAATTAAGAATCAATATTGATATTACAGTTGCCATGAGGTGTCAGTGTAAGTATTCCATCAGTAAAAGTTTTGAAACATTTTAAAGCCTCTTCAGAGCATGCATTTGCTTGCAATATAGTTGGATATTGTTCAGAATATTCTACCAGTGTGATTTTTTCTGATCTTGGTGGCATGTAGTGATCTTGATGGCTTATGACTCACTGAAAAAATTGGTAAGAGATGTGAAGAAAAGGATCTGTGCCATCTCATTCGCATCTCACAGAACTTTGCTTTGTCTGTCAGCAAGAAAAGGATCTGCTGCTCCACTCTCTCTCTTGCTGGAATATTCTGAAAGCTCATTGTGAGACACAACTCAGCAGCAGGAGTTGCATAACAACTTTTATTTATTTATGAACTTGGGATATATTAACCTGGTCTAGTGTTTAACAATACTGAAACCATCAAGTAATTTCATCCTCCTCGTGAACATGTGAGGGATGCCTTCCTATTTAAAGGCAATGCTTACTATTATTTTGACATCATTTAGCAAATGAACCATTATTTCTATGCAGTGGTCTTGCTTGTCCTGGACTGAGAAAGAGAGAGAATACTACTTCTACCAGGAATGCAAGCAAATTTTCAGGACTAACTTTTTTTGGCTAGCTTAAACCTTGCAGTAATTGTATGGTACATCAGTTTATTTTTATTTTTTTTTAGAAATAAACAAAACTTTTTCCTCTTTTTTGACTACTCTTGGTTTCTATTCAGTACTTGTAAAACATGAGAAAATATTTATGCATAGCAGATCCTAGAAAGCTTGTATGTGTGGTTTGTACAACACCACTGTTGTGTTGTAATACTGCAAATCTGAAGAGTTTTTGGTCACTGTGCAAATTGAAGGTTAGATAGGCTGAAGAAACAATGACATACTGAAGTTTACCACTGTACTGTGAAGCTTCCTTTTGACTTGGAAGGGGTTTTTTTTGTTGGTCTCTGATTATCTGCGTGACTTAATATTTCTCTCTGTTTCAAATAGATGTGGGGGCCGATGTTCTGGATTTAGCAGAAACAATGGTTGCCTCTGCAGATGGGCTAATCTATGAGCCAGTAAGTTGATTCTTACCTTTTTTGTTCGAAAATTAAATTGCTCCTGGTGTGAAGCACTACTGGGCTGGTTTGCTTGCGTGTGGTGTTTTTCTCCAACCTCTTAGAAAGAGGGTTGCAGTTGGTCTCTTTTGGCCATAGCTTCTGGGTATGTTTGAGCATTAATTGCAATTGAATTTGCTGCCTGGAGTACATTAGTGTTAACCAGTACTTTGATTTGAAGTCTGTGCACAGAGGTTACTGGTGATATTCCTGTGCTGATGAAGTATAGCAGGTCTGGTAGCTTGTCTTTAGTGCTTTATGTGGGATGACCCTAGAAATAAACAATCTGCACCTGGACCCTTGTCTTTCAAGGGTTGCTCCTCTGCTTGTTTTACTGCTGTTTGTATCAAAGGCATGCAAATCAGTTATATCACTTAGAATTAAATTGCTGCTCACTACTTCTAGTCCCTGTTAGTCAGGGGTGAGAAGGTGACTGCTGACTCGAGTTAGGAAGGCTTTAGGAAAAGATGCTGTAGTTATAAATGCAAGCAAGTGAATAATTCTTGGTTGAAAGGGACAGAAATTTTTATACTTAAACACTAAATGTATTACTTAAAGTGCAAAGTCCTTTCATAAACTCCCCTTAGAAGTACTAAGTGCGAAGTTGATTATAACTCCCCACCCCTTCCCACACCCCAATTTTCTTCTGGGTTTCCTGGAAGGAAGTTTTCTGTGTGTTTTATTAGAGGTGTTATTTTTGTTTCAGGTAGTATTTGATCTCACCCCACAACAAAAAGAATTGCAAAGGTAAACCACTGAAATGCATGCTTATGGCTTGTATTATTTGTACTGGAAGTGATTCTGAGGTACACCAGAGTCACATGACACAACTATGTCTTGGGTCTAACAACTCTTGTTTGTAATTTAGGAGTGCAAACCTGTGAAAAGATACTACTTACTTTGCTTTTCTCATTATTTGATACCTCTGTATGGAAAAAAATTGGCTTTAGACTCATCTGTGGAATTGGGTCATGCATTTCCAAGCCAAGATGTATGGACTCACTCAGCTTATATTTCCAAATGAGTGCTTGGTAGCACAAGTTATAATTATGGTATCAAATGTATAAAACAGATATATAAATGTCCAAGCTGAGCTGTAGTAATGAATTGGCATGTTCTTGCAAAACCAAAAGAATTTGAGTCATTCATATAATTGAATTGACTCACTGTTCATCATTTAAACTGTGATAGCTTGGTGTTGTGTGTGCCCTGTACAGTGATAGTTTTGTAATAGAACTGAAACTTATTTGGGAGTCTGGCTAGTTTTGGTATTTTGGTAACACACTGCTGTGAACACATGAGCTTTAAGTTCTGTATAAAACATCATTCTCAAAGTTATGCATTAGTACTTCTAATAAAGTAATGTTTTAATACCTACATCAACATTGCTAACTTCTTGATTTGCAACCTGCAGCTGAAGCTAATAATTGGTTGTGAAGCCAGATTTTGTTTTATTGTTGCATGCTTTCACACTTGTCTCTGATCTTTAGGATGCTGCAATTAATTCAGAGTAGGCTGCAGGAAGAACATTCTCTTCAAGATGTGATATTCAAAAGTGCATTTAAAAGTGCTTCTACAGCACTGCCACCACGGTAAGAAAAAATGGGATTTTGGGTCATTATTCCACCTTCCCTCCCCCCTATTAATTAGACTTCACATTTTATTGTGGTTATGATCCCCCTCTGCCCCCAGAAGACAAGGTTGTAGGAAAAGAATATTTCACTGCTTTTGAATGCATTTTAAAATAGTATGCTTGATACTTGCTTGATACAGCTTGGGAGCTGTTGTTTCCAGTCTGGGGTTTCCAGTTTGGAGAAAGTTTCCAGGTTTTGTGTGTATAGTTACACATACATCTGTATGCCTGATACAGACACACAAATAAATATATGCACACACTTTTTTAATTCCATTTTGTCTGATGCTTCCTTCTTAATGGGAACTAGTAATGCCAGAGCAATGCTAAACAAGAGTCTTTTTTTTAAACTTTCTGTTCAGCAACTTTTAAAAACATTGCTGTGACTTAAAGCTTCATAGTTTTAAAAGAATCAACCTTTGAGTACAAATGTGTTTTGTTAGTAAATTCTGTGTCTAAGGTAGCACAGTTGAGGTTGTGTAGAGAAGCCTTGCTATTTTCACTTTATTCCAGCTACCCACAAATGCTGAGAGACCAATGCATGGAATGCTTGGTCTGCCTGAATCTAAATGCTATATGATTTTTTAAATTTTTTTTTTCCCAAGGGAAAATGCTTTCTAAATGAAAGCTGAAATTCTCTCCCCTTAAAAACAAACAAGCGAACAGTCAGCACAAAAAAAAAACCCCAAGCCCCACTAAAACAAAAAACTGAGCAAGACAAAACAAACACCAAAACTGCCTTACACACTTCTCATGTTGTAATCTGCCTGTATGAGGACCAACTACATTTTTTTTCCTAAGGTGAGCCTAAAGACAGCTCAAAAAAATCTTTTTTTTCCCATTTACTTGATGTCTTCAGATTCTTTGCTTCTATGTTACTTGTTAGTGCAGTATTTGAAGTGGTACTTATGCTGGAGATATATTAAAAAAAAAAGTTCTTTTTTCATCTCCCTCTAAGGAGAAGATTTGTAAATATGTTCTGAGTTGTGGACACCCCAACAAGAGTGGGGAGAGGAAGGTTTCTTAAAAAATAACTGTTGAAAGCTCTTCTTGCTGCACTGTTGTTAATGTGACCAGAATGTATTTGGTTCTGTTCATTGTAGCATTAAAACTTTTCCCACTTTTACCAAAAATGGCTCATTGGGAAATAAAAAGCCCCGGGGTAACAAGATATACTTCTGGTCTTATGTTTTCTGCTCACTTGTTCAGGTATCGTAAGCCAGCATTGTAGGCCAGATCTGTGAATACCAGTAGGGATGAAAGCTTATTGGTTTAGTCAAACTGACCTTTTACTAGTTTTCCTCCCTTCCACATCTCTGCTATAATTCCAGAAGAATACAATAAGGAGAGGTAGATGATAATGCTGTATCTTTTGCTAGGAAAAGGAAATCTAACTGTACTGCTATTATTTCTGCTAGACAGTGAATATTCTCAAGTACTCTTAATGTTGTTTTTACTTAAACAGGGAAGATAATTCATTGCACTCTCCAGATGCATGCAGAATTCATGGTCATCTCTATGTCAATAAAGTGGCAGGGAACTTTCACATAACTGTGGGCAAGTATGTTCTGTTCAATTCCTGAAAATAAAAAACCCTTTGACTTCTACATTCTATATAGTGCATGTATGTATATATGTGTTTGTGCTTTTATATTTCAGAGTTAGTGACTGTTTTTTATTAACCTTTCTGTACTCATGCTTGATATTTTTTTCCATGTAATACCTTTTCTTGCACAATTAAATTTCTTCATAAATTACTGAAACAATGCAGTGCGGTGCATTGTTGCGTGTAATGTAGTTGTTATGAATTCCATGTCTTACAGGATGGAAACTCTTGAAACTTGCTTTGTCAGAGAGCAAATGCAGAGTGCAGTTAACTTGCTTAGTCATGGAACAAATACGGTCAAATTTTTGTTAGTCACTTGAACAGTTCTGCAGTTTTTTGTGGAGTAGAACTTGGTGACTCTTCTAATAGCACAAGTGATGTGTTTTTGATATTTCTAAAAATGAAAGACTAATTTTGTGTAAGAGGGTTTTTGTGAGTCCAGGGTTTCTGTAACTTACTGTTCAGGCTGTCTGTACTTGGCAGTAATAAAACTGTCACATTTGGTTTTTATATAGACATACTCAATTTTTATAGATATCAGTTTCTAAAACACATATATATATAAAACATATATTTAAGCATATATATGTTATGTTATACATATGTGCATATATACATATTTAGCCACCAACGCGCTTGCATGAAAAATGGGTAGAGCCCTTCCCAAATCTTCGTTCGCGAAGCCTAGCCATGATATATATATAGATAACGTATTTATTGAAATAGAGGAGGAAAGGTAATTTTTCTACATAGTCCTGTGTGGATTTGTAAAACATTTCTTGCTTTCTTTAGGGCAATACCACACCCTCGAGGCCATGCACACTTGGCAGCCCTTGTAAGCCATGAGTGTAAGTTCCTTCTGTCATCTCCATGTGAACATGTATCATTTCAGTCAGACTGCTGTCTCCTAATTCATGTGAAGTTGCTGTTGTAAAGATGTTCTAGCTGTGCAATTGCATTGTAAAAAACAGTGAAGAATATTCTCTTCAATGATCTGACTCAGTATCGACTTTCTTTTATACATGTAACACTATTAGAACTATCTTTAGATTGCTTTTACAGTAATGATAACACAGGAATCTCAGATGTACTCTGTTGTAACAAAAATGCCATGTAAAATTCCTGTATTTCAGTCCAAAGTACCTATTTCCTGGAAAATCTTTTTATAAGGTTAAAAATTTCTGAGCTTTGTCCCTAGAAATGTAATTTTTGGATTATGGGTCTAGATGCTAAAGGTGTGTTGCTGCCTTACTTAATGTGAGACAAAGGTGACTCACTGTGAAAAATTAACTTGGTTAAACCAGTAAAGGTTGCTTAAACCTCTAGATGTCTGCCCATGAATTTATGTTAACACAACTGTATTATAGATCTTAAATACCTTTGTAAAATCAGGCAGCGTAGTATCTTGGAAACTGCCTTATACTTCCTCTGTAAATTTGATTTATGAAATTTTAGTCTTTTTAATGCCATTGCATACAAGAACCTGAATTATAGAATAATTTAAGTATTTGACCAACTAGAAGTTCCCTGTCATCAAATTATAACTGTTCAGCTCTGGAATTGTTTAAAATAGAGTAGTAATTTAGTTTAGAGCTCTTTTCTAGAGAAATTTAACTTTTTTGTTAAATATTTTGGATTTGAGTTTTCTTTGAAGCGTGCGTAGATATGTTGGTGTAGTCACAGGCACAAATCCAATGACACGTTTGGTAAATGCATTAGTTAGAATATGTCAGTGTGAGAAATGGGTGAATTTTTTTCTCTAAGTACAGAATCTCATAGTTTAAAAATGTTTCATTCCTCTGTATTATCTTTCAGCCTATAACTTCTCCCATAGAATAGATCATTTGTCATTTGGAGAGCTTATTCCAGGAATTATTAATCCTTTGGATGGAACAGAAAAAATCGCATCCGATCGTAAGTGTTGTGTGTTTAAGAAAGCATATTGTTTTCTATAGTTTCCCAATAGTTACATTTAAAATATTATCATTTTTTCATGAATGTTGTGATTTATAAGCAGCATCTCAGGCTACATTTGGTAGTGAGCAATGCCCTGTTAATTTATCTACATGGCATTTAAATGGGCATTTCTTTTCAATATCTGCATCACTGTACTCTGCTGTTTCCCTGAAGGTGATTTGCAGTTTCTTTCAGGTTTGTGTTATGTTGAAGTTACAGTATGTCTGAACACACTGCAAAGCGTTTTGCAGGAGTATGTTACAGTGGAGAATCATAGATCTGATTGTTGTCATAAAGGGGAAAAATAAGTCTGATTTGATTTAAAAAAATAGCACAAGGAGTCTTGGATTCTGTTCCTGTATTTGGGTTGTGTCTCCCACAGTGTGTTTTGTGAGGCTACTACAGGATGGATTTGTGTATCACTTTGTTTCCTCCTGTATGAATAAAGGAGAGTAATAACCTGCCTCATCCTCTCGCTGATGTTACCTGTGAGTGATCCCCGGAACCTTCTACAGCTGCTCTTGTCTCAGAGCCAGTCCCTTGGCTGGTACAACCAGAATGGTTTAGTGTAGTTGAAAGAAGTTGCTGCAGTCTGTTGGTGTTTGTTCTCTAGGGAATTGCACAGAGCAGTCATAAATGCACGATAATGCTGATTGCTCAAGAAGAATTCTCCAAAAGTCTGATCAAGAGAAAAACCATCACCAGTTTAGAAGGGCTTCCAGCATTTTATATACAATCAATCTACTGAGACCACTGTGAGATGTGTATATATCATGAAAAATGTGACAGTGTGAAACTTGCTCTAGTGCCCTAGAAAACACTACCTATGTGTTTCTTTTGAAGCTTTGAGTGTCCTGACCTTAATGAGTCTTTTCATTACATGGGTAAAATGTAAATTTCTCTGAGTACAAGTGGGACATATGCCTTTTCCATGGAAACTAACTTTGTTCGTGCAGATGGTGCTGAAGTAGTCTTGGCAGTGCTGGGACTCATGGAAGAATATCCCTAGTGTAAATGGCTTAGCTGATTAACTGTTTTAATATTATTTCTTTGATTTATTTGTGAATGTCTCAGATGGTCTTTGACTCTGTACTTGATTCAACAGTGAGATGTTTTTTCTTCTAGACAACCAGATGTTCCAGTATTTTATCACAGTTGTGCCAACCAAACTCCATACGTATAAAATTTCAGCAGAAACTCATCAATTCTCAGTGACAGAAAGGGTAAGTAGAAGTAATTAAAAAACATGGAGAGAAAAATCTAGAAGTGGTTGTTCATAACAGAAGTTCAAATTGAAAACAGACTTGATTGTACCATGGTTGTAAAAACTCCTCTAGAGTGAAGAGACTCTTTCTAGAACATTCTAGTACACTGGATTTATCTGTGAGTCATACAATACTGATGGTGGAATATATATGTGCTTGGTGACATGTGCAAACTTCTTGCATTAGTGTTTTGCATCTGTAGATCTGGAGTCTGATATTAGAATTAATGATAATCCAATAGTTTCCACTTCACTGCATGGTAATAGTGGTGGTGGTGAAACCCTCCAAGTGTTAGGTCTGTAACCTAGTGTGTAGCCTTGCAAATATTTAATCTACCATTAGCTTTTTATCCATGTGGGAGGCAAACAAAAAATGCAGCTCACATTCACTATTATGAATTTGGTTGTGGAGTGTAAGAAATGGAAACAAAGGTAGTTTGTATGAAAAACTAATCTAACAGTATATGTCTCAGCTGTCTTGTTTACCCTTTGTTGAACCATCAATTTTAATTACTCTCAAGACTAGAGAGCTTCCACTTCTGGGATTGGAGAGGCATTTAATTCTGAATCCATACTGAAAGTAGTTAGTGCAGCATAGTACTAATTTTAAAGACTGCTGTAAATAGGAAAAAAGCCTTGAGTGTACTGCTTACATGTCTTATTTTCAGAGACTGAACTTGATTTTGATCTTCTATTCAAAAGCCAAAGAAAAAAATTTCTGTAAAAAGTTTAATTAAAAATGACAGATAAAGCAAGAGGTGAGAAAGAAGCCTTGGGTTGAAAGGAAATTTGGGGATTAGAGTGGCAGTTCACTGAATTACAGCTTGTGGTGTTCTCCAAGGGAGAAAAATTTTTTATTTCCTCACAATTCCATGTTGTGCTTCTGAAAAAATACATAGGTAGGGGAAGTAGGATAGAGGTGATGTCTTGGTGTTCAACTTGGGACGTGCAGACCACTGAAGGGAAAGGTTCACTCTGAAACTCATGAAAGCTGAACTACAGAGAGGAATGAAGAGGAATTTCATAGTGCAGTATACTCCCACCTCCTGCTGGTCTAGCAATCTGCTTTGTGTTTTCTCTGCACAATCTCTGCAACAACCAAGGCATTCCTTAAGCTGTTGACTGACATTCATAAGTTTGTCTTAGACACTTTTCCTTTTTTTTTATCTTGTATTCAGTTTTTCTCTCCTCCTGCTGTAAAGATGGTACTATCAGTTACCTGTCCAGTCTAAGTTAGCTCTTTATTTTTTTGTGGGGATCTGTTTTTATGAAAGTTGCAACAGCCACAGGTTGCTTAATGTAAAAGGTTGGAATAGCAGAGGTAAAGTGGCATTATGCACTTGTTTGCTCTTGCTCAGTAGGTAGCCCTGTAAAGCTTATTTGTGTTAATCTTAGGACACCAAATATTCCTAGCAGATAAGCTGGAGAAGGTTATTAAGAACAGCTATTGACTGAACAACGTAGTGCATTTATTTTAGAAGAGTAGAGACACATGCAGATGTGGGAAAAGGTGGTCAGGCAGGCATGGCTAGAAGTTGAATGCAGTGAGGTTTAATTACCAGTGGTGAGCAGATGGGGAAACAGGGTTTGAAAGGTGTGGGCAGAATCTTCTCCACTATTGTTGGTGTTTGAGATACTGTGTTTATCTATATTGAAAAGATTTAATTCTAGCAAGGCTTCACTGAGCTATCTGATGCAGGGTTAGTTATTTTCAGCAGGTTTTAGCAATCAAAAGTTGAATCTGCAGCAGTAGAAGCTGGAAGCAGACCAAAATGGTTTGCAGAAAAAGAATTCTGTATCTTTTGAGGATGGAATTTTGTGTGTTCTGTTTAACTTCATATTCTTTTTTTACCATTTGACCTCAAAAGACCAGTAAGGCTTAGGGAAACAACAGAGGAAAATAAACAGTACAAAGGCTTTTGTGTCACTTGCCAATGGCAAGGATCTGTTTAACTACCTTCAGTCTTCCTTCTTAGTGTGCCTCATCATCTGTCTTTGAAAGCTGACTGTTGTCATGCTTTTGAAATATGGAAAGCATTCTACATTTTGTTATTTAACCATTGCTAAGTTTTTGTGACCTAGTATCATTACTTTGACTCCTTTTTACTTTGAAAAGTACAGATCAGGCAACTTCTTCAGTCAATTAACACTGACACAAACCAACTTGCTTTTTCTGCTACCTCAACAAAGTGGTGGTCTGTTTTTTATTTTGTACTGTATTCTGCATGGGTTTTGAGCACAGTGTTAAACCTACAAATGAAATGGAGCTGTGATATATTGCTTTTCTGTTCAGTCCTACTTGTCTTGTCTTCTCTGTTCTTATTAACTTGGACATGGCTGAGTTTGTCTTCAGTCAGTTATGTTCTTTTCTGCTCCCCTGGTATATTTTCAGTCAGACATACCTGGCAGTGCATTTTTCAACACCCTTCCCTAACAACAAAAGGACAGCAGACTTTTGAAAGAAGCTTAAGGCTGTGTTGAGGTGTTTTCTCCTGAAACCTTTTTTAAAAGTAGGTATTTATAGCAGCCACACTGTCATGTTTGGGGTCTTTTGGTTATAAGAATTTGACCAGATGAGAAGAAACTGTAGAAGTTCTTGGATTAGGACTGAGGTGCCTGGTAGTCCTAGTGAGTTTGGGGTTTCTATTTATTGAGGTGCATTTTTTGCTGTGTGACTTGTCTGAAATGACAGACAAAAATTTTGAAAAGAGGCTTTTGCCAAGGAAGATCCTCAAGGTCCCTTCCAACCTGGTATTCTATGATTAATATACACCCCCCCCGGGAAACTGCCATAGTGAAGGCTGTACCCTGATGTCATCACAGCAGTGGATAAAGTAGGAAGAGTTGCAGCACCTTGTTATACCAGTGCAGTCCCCTGACTTCACAGGCCAGACCAAGACTGTGGCACTTATTATCATAGGTACTCAAAACAATCCAGTTATAAACATCCTTGTTTAAAGGACCATGTGAGCAAGTCTTGGGAGAAAGTACCAGAGTATGATAGTGAACATTGATATGCAGCACAGAAGACCAGTGACCAGGAAAGTAAACTTTTACTTAATGATGTTTGACATTTAGAAGGTACTGGTCAAAGTTACCTTGATGTTCCCTGGTCTTCTGTTGATTGCTAACTCTGATTAAACAGCTCTTTGTTACCACTTCTAGTAAGACGGGTTTTCTTGTGACTAATTTGTGTTTCTCTCTTTTCTTTCAGGAAAGAGTAATTAACCATGCAGCTGGCAGCCATGGGGTGTCAGGAATATTCATGAAATATGATATCAGTTCACTCATGGTGACAGTGACAGAAGAACATATGCCTTTTTGGCAGTTCTTAGTGAGGCTCTGTGGCATTATTGGGGGAATTTTTTCAACTACAGGTGATTATCAGAGCCTTCCCTCTTAAGTTCTATCAGAATTGGGGTTTTTTTCATGGTGATTGTTATGGATAAATTACAGGGGAGTCCTGAACCTCTGATAGGTTTAAGATGAAGTGCTCATTTTGTGTGCACTGAAATGTGCCATGAAAGCTACTCAGTTTCAGTGTCCCAGTATGGCATTTCTGCTGTTCTGAGAGCCTGTTGTTTCCTTTCTGGTAACTATAGCATAGTTTGTTTACTTCTGGAAGAGCAAGGATATATCTGTGTTTGTATGTGTATATATATATATACACACACACACACATACATACAGACACATACTGACTTCTGATATTCTGTGTAGTTCCTTTAGTTGGGATCCACTGTTAAATCAGTGACAAAAGTTGAGATAAAATTTCCATCTGAAGTAATTGGGAGGATTTTTGTTGTCAATGTACTGCAGGATTTTCTCCTTCAAAGAAAATAAGTTGAAAAGGCACAATCCACTTACTAGTCAAGACATAATAGGGTATCTTGATCACAAGTAATTTCTTTTCTTGGCTCTCATTTGAAGAGAGCTTTAGTAAAGAGACCTTGAACTAAGAGCTGCCTTTCAAAGTAGATATTTCTGTCCCACAGAATGTATTTTCACCCATGAAAGCTGGCAGAGGGTGACATTTACTTGGATAGCTTTGCTTTCCTCAATGCATTTCAGAATGTTAGAATTCTCCCCTGCCCTTGATGTTTCCTTTTTGTATGTTAATTTCTCAGTGCTTTATGTACGGGTTTACTGCACTGTATTCTGTGTAGAGTTTTGTTGTAATGCTTCCATAAATAATACATTTTTACTACTGATGACAATATAAATCTTGTTTGACATTGCAGGAATTTTACATGGCTTTGGAAGATTTGTAGCAGAAATTATTTTTTGCCGTTTCAGGCTGGGCTCTTACAAATCCACATCGGTAAGGAAGACTTTCTCTAAGTATTAAGTGGTATAGCTGAGGATGGATGATGAGGTCAGCTTTGGGACTTGGTCTCAGGAAGTTTTAAGATGTTGGCAATAAACCTTCCCCTTGACGTGCATATGAGCAGAGGTTCAACAGCTTTTAAAAACAGTGGGAAAACCTAAAACATAAGGAAGCAAGGAAACAAGCTGAATCAATGCAGCTGAGTCTCGTGGAGGTTTTTCTCCTACATTCGCTCCATAGTCCTTACTATTACTATTTTTATTTTTATTCTCTTTATTCATATTGCTCCAAAAATTACGTTTTCCCAGGCCTAGTCAGTCTCCCTGTCCTGGCTTTGGTTTCACATTTTCTTCTGCTTGGCCTGCAGACTGAAGAAGACAGACACACTGTGCTGCAGGGATTCAGTGGTGCTCCTTATTAGTCTGCAGGCTACGGCCAAGCACTGTGAAAAAGCTGAGCTATTTTCACTTTTCCCTTCATTGGGCATTAATAGGATTGCTCCTCTAGCAACTACTTGATTTCATTTTACTTTTATTTTTCCCATTTAAGCCTGTAGATAGCCTTTGAGATCTCTGCATTTCTCTCATATTTAGTTGATGTTTGCCAGCTGGCAAGGTTATGTGAGTGGAGAGAGAGGAGGGAAGGTAAGCAGATTTGTATAATTGTTGTATGAGAGACCAGGTAAAAGACATCCAAGAAATGCCCAAGTATGTGTTTTGGGGGGAGGGAGTGGAGATTCTGTTTGTGGACAAGCCATTAATAACACTTTGTTTTTGTTTCACTAGGTCCCACTTTCTGATGGCCACACAAGCAACCACTTACCTCTAATTACAGACAATAGTACACATTAGCCTCCTGAGAAAATTTTCTTTCTTCCTGCCTGATACAGAAGACTTTTTTTTATAATAAACATTGTGCAATATGCTGAGACAGTGCTGATGGGCAGCAAAAAAACAAAGCCTTTACAAAAAAACCAACAACAACAGCAAAACAATTTGTGTAATTTTTTTGTCTTTCTGAGTGCACGTGGAGTGATAGAAAGTTGTGAGACCAGTGAGGTGGACCATCTGGAGAGTAAAGGAGTGTTACTGCCGACACAATATTCATGGTCGAGCTGAACGTCTTCGTGGTGGCTGCCATTGACCACTGAAGCATCTTAGTGATGCCTGGGAAGGCTGCAGGCCCCAAGGAGAGAAGAGTACAAGTGGGATGTGTGGAATGCACACAGGGACAGCAATAGAGCTGGGGTTTCTCTTAGGTATGCAAACGGGGGATTGGGTTTTCTTGTTCTTTTGTAATGCTGGGGCTGAGGGCTAAGATGCCTCATACAGGTGGGGAGCAATCCTAGAAAATCCTGAAGAAGAGGGGGATGAGAGAGAACTTGGAGTAAGGTGGAGCCCAAGCCATGATGTTGGTCATAGCTCCTGCCTTTCTGCAGTCCCACCATTCCTTAGTGGAAGAAACATACTGCAGAGCAGAGGAGTTCCTCTGTTTCCACACATCCGCTGTGCCAGCAGTGAGAGTGTCACTTCTGGCATCGGTGTGGAAGTGCTTAAAGACTCTCAAAATGCCCTCCAGTGTGCACAGTTTTTTTTACTTGGAATAAGGCTTTTAAATAAGGCATTTGACTCTAGTTTTGGTAAAAGGCAAGACTCCCTAGTAAAAGATCGGGAAATCTTTGTACGCCTCTTTCTTGGTAAAGAAATTGCTTGGATGGAACCTTTGTTGTACCCCTGCTGCTGTATGTGAGCCATGGGAGCATCTACATCCTGGAAATGGAGTGGGGGAAGCGGGGAAGAGCAAGAAGCTGCCAGTTCAGGGCAGTTGGGAGGTCTGCTAGGCCAGGGAGTATGGAGTTGAAGTAGGTGACTTCAGGGAATCTGAATCCTATTGCTGCAGACAAGTGATGAGAAGGGATCTGCATAATTAATCCGTATTGTTCATGAAGGTTTTTGTAAATTAAGAGAGCAATATCATATTGTAAATATGCTACTGAGAATGAATGTTATTAATGCAGATGGTGCTTTGAGAAACAGAACATCATGTTACTGCTGAACTACTGGTACACAACTGTGGTTGAACAGTTACTCCACCAGTGTAAAAAATCAATAATATGATTCCTTCTTGGCAAAACTGATTTAATAATATATTAGGAGATGATGCTGGTCCTGGCCTCGCTCACCATGGAATGAATATTATAATTGAGAGGACTAATTACAGAAAAATAAAAATCTCTGTGGCGTCAGATTTTGCTGACTTCTGTTAATGTACTTTACAGGACACTTGGATCTTGGTGATGAGCATAGTGTAAATAACACAGCTGATTTGCTATGCAAAGCAAAGGGCTTCCTAAACAGAAATAATATAGTAAATAAAATGTGGGAAGTAAGGAAAGACTTTTGTTGAATTTGACTGTTGAGAAAGAAGTTTCAGGAAGCTGGGTCCTTGGGGCTGACAGCTTGGGGTTTCTCTTTTATGCTTTTTTTTTTTAACACTGATTAAAACTCCAGCAACTTGAGAAACTCTTTGTTTCCCATTTCTCTTTAGCATTTCCTTCAGAGGTTTCTTCCCTACTTCTACTCAAACTGGTTCTACTTTGGGCTTTGTCCTAACACTTGTTTCTTACCTGCCTGGAACAGACTGTACAGGTGGGAGAGACTGATCTCAGTTAACTTTTTGTACCAGAACTTTAAATGTTATTTTCTATTCTCACATAAAAGAGCCAAGCAGCTTGGTGTGTCATAAATCCTTGTGTGGTGTATTTGTGTTACCTAGAACAAAACTTCAATGGAAGAAAATTTGGGATCTACTTCCAGATGTGAGGTGCTGCATTGGAGTGTTGCTGTGCTGTTTGCTTTCTTTCCACAGCGGGTTTGATTGTTGGAGCAGTGCTGCTCACCCTTGTAGCACATGTCGTTGGCTTAACCAGCATGTGCAGGGGTGTCCCAGAGAAAATACTAGTTTATTGCAGGGACTTTTTTTGGTTACATTTCTTTACATTGTGTAATAGTGAGAGTAGTATGGAAAAATGAAAGGAATGGGTGTCCCAAGGGAAATAGAAACGCAGGTGTTGATGTGATGTATATTTTCTGAAAGGGGGATAGCAGATGAAAAATACCATTTTCTGGGTCAGAAAAGATGGTTAAAATGATATATTTTTATCCTTTGCTCTTACATGATGTTGGCAACAGCATAGGGGAAGAAAGTTTTAACGTGCATTAGGTGTGTTCATAGCATGCTGTTAGTGACTGCTGTCTTTCTGGCCAAAAAGTCTTCCCCACTCCCAGTTGGATGGTTTGGGTTGTGCTCTGCTCCTGCCCTGCTCTCCCACGAGAGGTGGTGTTTTTTAACAGACCAGACCATCCTTGGCCCTGTTGCCTGCAAGCCAGAATCACACAGCATTGACAAGATGCCGTAAAAACAGCATGGTGGGAAAGGACATGTGCTGGTGGGGTCAGTCCTGCATGGAGCTAGGCAAGGACTTTCCCTCCTACCCTGCCCAAGATCTTCTTAAGTTTTTCAGGGACTGATTTGACAAACTTATCCCTAAGTAGTCAGTGTAGTTGCTTAGGAATGGTCAGAGGCAGATATATATTTGATGTTTAACTGCAGCTGTGATTAACTGTACAGACAAAACCAAGGCCGGGGAGGCAGCTGTTGCCTCATCCTTTTGCTGTTGAGTTCTCTGAGAAGATCCGGTGCTAAGGATGTCTGGTGTTACGATGCAGTAATAGTGAAGCAGTAGGGATGTGATCACCTTGATCGCATCTCCAGTGGTATGGATGATATTAAAGCTCTCTGCTCTCTGTTTTTTCAGAGGTAGCCAAGTGCTGCAGCCTGTTTTTCTGGGAAGATGGGAAATGAGAACAGCTTGTTTGGGGATACTTGCAAAGATCTCTGTTTTTAAAAGGCACCCAGAAGGTGGGGGTGTGGGAGGTTTACTTACTTACGTGTTGCTTACTCAGATTGGTGCAAAGTTACTTCTTGTAAAGACACTTTTTTTCCCTATCAATGCTCAGTTAACGCAAATGATGTCTAGTATTTGGCCTTGGTGGTGGTCTGTTGTTTAAAGAAATGTCCATGCCTGCATGTATAGTTAGTGTTTAGTAGTTAATGCTTCAAGAAGTCCTGAGGGACTTTGCCCACTGCCTTCAGTGCCCTGGCAAGGATTTGATGCTGTAGGTCTGTCCACCTGCCCTTGCACACCTGAGCACTGGCATTTATTTCAGCTGGCTTAGTTAAAGGGGTATGAAATGTTTCATCTTGTCTTCTGACATGGCTTAGTGTCCTTTCCAAAGCATTTCTGGTTGCTGCTAGCCCAGGAGAAAGGCAGTGTCACTTTGCCCTGTCTTCTAGAGGACTTTTCTGAGAGCTGGTCCATAAATTCATCAAAACAGGAACCTTCAAGACTGGGTGGTACAGCCTCCTAAGGGGGAGAGCTGAAGGCATGCTCTGAGAACATGCATCTCTCTGTGGCTTCCACATACCAGAATTCAAGCAAAATCTCATTGTGGCTTGGTTTTGGGGCTTTTTCGTTTTGTTTTGTGTATATAGATAGAAATGTACAGAGTTCCAGGACCAGCAATTTGAAGCGTGAAAAACAGGAAGCCAGACTAGGTTGAGGTCAGGAGAACCCTGGTGTAGCGTGGGGGCAAGAGGCCATGGCAAACAGATGCTAGGCAGGCTCTGGATGAGCAGAACTTCTCCAGGCTGCTGTGCCTGTGTCTCTGCCTGGAGCTGTCACGGATGCTCCTCTGAGCAAGGACCCTGTGCTCCCCTGCCCATATCAAGCCAAAAAACCTCCCCCACCTCACTTCCCCTTTGCTCCAGCAAAGGGGATTTCAGCCTCTTCAGCACAAGTAATTGCTCTGCACCAGCTACTTCTAAGCCCCTGCCGAGTGGAGGTGTTTGTTTCCCTTCCTGGGTTTAGCTGTAATAGCTGTAAAAACCAGAATTGAATGGTTTTGGGGTTGTTGTGGTTTTTCCCTTGCACATTTTCCTGTAATTATGAGGTGGGAGTGTGTTTTGCCATGAGATTTTCTAGTTGCAGAGTGCTCAGCAGATACTGCTATTTTGGAGAAGGGAAAAAAAAAGGGGAGGAGGTGAGTTTTGACGCATGGATGATATTTGAAAATTACTATTTACTGAAGCTTAATTCCCTAGCTGGTGGTTGAGTATTAGAATTGACTGTGAACAACCGTGGCATTTAAACTGAGCAGGGCTGCTGCACAGGGCTGGGTTGCCCGAGCTCGCTCTCTGTCAGGAGCTGCTGTTGCACTGCTTCACCTGGGAGTGTGGGCTGTAGTGGGGACCTCTCCTTAAAGTTTAGAAACTCACTTTGCAAATTTTGAATTTCACTGGAATAACAGGAAACTCATTAAACCTTTACTCTGTGTATGCGATTTAACAGAATCCTTTGAGTTTTGCCTGAACCTGACAGTGTTCGACTAATGCAAAAGAGTTGTCACTGTGGCAGTCTGTGAAGGCTTGCAGAGAGAGGAAACACCTTTTATCGCCGCAGGGGGAGCAGACAGGCTTTTGGTCCTCCCCACCCTCTGCATGGCAAGCTGCAAACGCTGCTGCTGCTCTTCCAAGGGCTCGTAGCTCTGAGAGCAGTTCTGCAGCTTTTTTAAAAAATTTATTTATTGTGACCTCCGAAGGTACTGGTGTGAAATCAACGTTTTTGAGCCTCTGCCTTAGCTCAGTTGATTTAAAGTCCAAATTGCAGAGCCCAGGAGCCTGGCAGGTGGTGGCGGGGGTGGATGTTTCTTGTAGCTCCGCAGAAAACAGATGTTTTCAAGGCAATTGCAGAGACGTCAAGGCAAGAAAAAGCAGAACTGAGAATCACTGACCTAAGGTTATTGTATTTACCGTAAAAAGAGCCAGGTGTTTCCATTGCCACTCTATGAATCACTTGCCATGCTGTGTCCTCATGGCACGATGGTGCTGTGCAGGCTGGGCTCTGCCGAAACCTGGAGCGGGGAGGAGGAGGCGATGTGGAGCTGTGTGACCCTGTGAGCTGAGTCACTGCACTGTCACCGTGTCGGGCTGACGGGGCCTGCGGGCGAGCCCAAGGCCTCTCCTTTCCCGCTGTGACTCCGTTGTGGGTCATCCTTCCCTTGAGAAAGGACGCGAAAAGGGAGCTCATCGTGAAGGATTTTTCCCTTCTGTAGCCTCGTTAAACAGGACTCGGTGCAGAGTGAGCCGGGCCTGGGGCCCCCCTGAGGGAGCTGCGGCCAGGGCGAGCCGCGGCGCTCCTGGCACGGGAGGTGATGGCGCAGGAGAAGCTAGAAGCACCTGCTGGGATGCAGCCCCCCATCCCTGGAGGGGATTCTACCGGTCGGCCCTGTGCCACTGCCAGCCTGCTGCTCCTGCCCGGGCACTGTGTGGCCACGTTTTCTGCCCTCCCCTCCCTGCCGGGCACAGCCCTGCGGAGGGATTCGGGGGCAGCAGCGGCAGCACAAAGCGGGTCCCGGGCCCCCACAGCGCTGCCGGCTCGGCTGCTGAGCACTGCCACGCTGCCAGATTCTTGCTCTTATTTATTTCTCTTCCTCTCTCCCCTCTTCTCTTTTCTGTAAAACCGTTCTGTGCTTCTCGGCTGGATGGGAGCAGGGTCACGGCCCCCC